GAACATAAATTATATGTGTTTGACCGCATATTGGATTGATGAAGATTGAAATGTGTAGAAAAGGATCATTAATTTCATCCAAGTTTCGAATCATAAAGGAGAAACAGTTGCACTGGAGATTTTGGTTTGCCTAAATGAATGGGGAATAACTACATTGTTCACAGTTACAATGGACAATGCATCGTCCAATGATATGGTTATGGACAAGTTGAAGAGAAAAGTCAAAGATATTCAAAATTTTCTCGTCTTAGATGGCCAGGTGCTACATATGCAGTGTGTATGTCACATTCTAAACTTGATTGTTAATGAAAGAAGAAAACATTAACTCAATTGCCCTATTGTGTTTGGATGTGAAGACGAAGTGGAACTCTACATACCTTATGTTGGAGACTTCTTTCAAGTTTGTCCCCGTTTTTTAGAGGTTGCTTTTGGATCAAAACTATTGTGCTTACTTTGATGAAGTTATAAAAGACAAAAAGGTGGAGGGTCCACCAAATGAGACAGATTAGGACAATGCAAGGGTGGAAAGTTTTACACTTTGACGAATAAGTTTAGTGGTTCATATTATGTCACTTCAAACTTCTATTTCAAAGATATTTATGCTATCAAACAAGAGTTGATTAAGTTAGAGGACTGTGATGATCCTCTCTTGAATGAAATGGCAACGATGATGAATAAGAAATTTGATAAGTATTGGGGAAATGGCGAGAAAATGAATCGCATGATGTTTCTTGGCTTGGTTCTTGATCCAAGATATAAGTTGGATTATCTTGCTCTTGCCTTCAAGTGTATCTATGATGATTTGACATCTGACACGTTGTTAAGTGGGGTTGAGGACACATTGCGTAGATTGTATATGGAATATCATGATCGGGCTCATCCCCCACCTTTAGCTCCTCATCGTCCCCCCCTAACCCTACTATTAAGCAACTGCAATTATCACAGTTGGCTAAACCTCGATTTAGAAATACAAGGTCAGCTCACTCATCAGAAACTTATTTTGGTTCTAATTTAAATCACTCAACAATTACGACATCTAGTGAACCCACCTCAATGCCGGTTATTGATGAGATAGAGGCCATGTTTAGAAAGCAAAAGATGAGCGGGGATGGTGTAAATGTGCAGAAGAATGATGTTGATAAGTATTTATTTGAGCAATGCGAAGAGCTAGTGGATGACAGTTTTGACATCCTTGGTTGGTAGAAAGTTAATGCTCCTAGGTATAAGGTCTTGTCCCAAATTTCTAGAGATGTGCTTGCAATTTCGGTTTCGACAGTTGCATCTGAATTAGCTTTTTCTACCGGTCGTCGTATTCTTGATCCTTTTAAGAGTTCATTGGCTCCTAGGATGGTTGAAGCACTTATTTGCTTGAAAATTGGTTGAACGCGAAGGATGAAGAATATGAACCCGTGGTTCTTAGGCAATGTATGGATGAGGTTGAATCCTTTGTAGATTGCTATCATGTTTTCTCAGGTAATATTAATCATGATTGTACATACTACACATATTTGTAATTATATCTTTTTTAGGCATTTCATGTATTAGGTAAATTAATTTATAATTTTCTTGTAGATGATGGTGAGGTTGTTTCTACTCCAACATGTTCAAAGGACGAAAGCGCTTAAGTAAATGATGCAGAATCTTCTAAAAGACCCAAGTAAGATAATTAGAATTATATCTATTTATTCTTTTTTTTCCATCATCTATTCAATTTCATTTACTTAATTTTAATTTTCTGTTGTAGTGATACATATGACGATATAATGGATTTGAATTCGGATGAAGATGAAGGGGAATAGGAGGTTTATGAGAAGTTCGAAATGAACTTCACTATTTAAAGTTGAACTTTTTAATTATGCTTTGGACTTCTTAATTTCTTATGCCACTTTAGATATTTTTTACACTTGTGTTGTTGACCTTGACTTTATATGTGGACTTTGAATATTAGTATTAGTATTGTTTGTTGTAACTTTCTAGTTTCTATTTTCTACTTTGTACTTTGGATTTGGATATCTTATGTTTGTGCAATTATCAATTTGGATGTTGTGCTTTGTATTCATTTGTTGTGATTACATGTTTGCATTGAAGGAAAGTTTTACATTTTTTTCATATTTTCTGGTAAAAAAATGCAACTAAAGATGTTGGTAACCTGATGGTTAACTGAGGTCACCTTCCTGATTACCAAAACTGAAAAACCGACTTAAACCGAACCGAAATCGAAGTTCGGTTAACCGAACCAAATAATACTGCATGCGGTTCGGTTTCAGTGCCCACTTTCAGAAAACTGACATGGTCGGTTCAGCCACCGAACCGACCAAAATCGACGGTTTTTAACCGCTGAACACCCCTAGTGGTAGCCTACTATTTCTTACTGATATCTTGAGTAGCAAAAATAAATAAATAGGGAAGAGCACTATCGACGGTGAGGGAGATCACACCTCAACAACCCTGACATAAAAGGTCTTGTTTTGATGATTTTGGAGTTGGGGTTGTTGCTAGGATTTGGATTGGAGCCATGGTTGAGCTCAGGACTAGGGTTTAGGTAGTAATCAATGTTGGGGTTGGGTTCAGGGTTGAAGATAATATGAATGTTGAGACTTATCGCCGAAATACTAATAAAAAAATAAAAAAAAATCTTATTTGCAGTTTTTTCATCAAGATTTTTTTTCATAGTCCCTGTAAAAATGATCTACTGGTAGTTCCTTATTTTTCGGCCGTTAGATCTGTATTTTAAATCTGTCTATTTTACATCTTTTTTAATTTAATATGATTTTATCTAAATCTGATGGTCAAAATTTAAAACAACCAGTAGGACGGACTATCGGAAAAACTAAAAAAAAAGTGTCAAATTTATAAACACTTGCTAATTAGTCCGTTTTTTCCTCGGGTAAACCAACTCGAATTCCTTCGCGTGCATGGTATGAGCCGTCACTCATGATAATTTTCAAATTTGATACTCCAGAGTCCAGAAGCAGTTTTACTATTTCCAAAAAAAAAAAAAAATGCTCCAACCAGATTTGTACTCTTTTTACGTTTATTAATTACATTTACATGGTATTTATTTATTATGGATGGGTTTAATTACTAGATTGGAGCATAAATTCTTTTCTTTTTTTTTTTCTTATTGTTAGCTTTTTCTTCCTTTTTTTTTTGGTTCTTCGCGATTTTCTTGTCTGGGAAATACAGTTTGACGTACGCTCTTCATCTTTCTATTCATTGGTGAAATTTGATTTGTTTTGGTAAAGACTGTGTTTTGCTTAATTGCATTCTTGTTTTGCTGCACTTTCTTGTTTTTTCTGGATTTATGGAGACACGTAATGGGCACCAAAGAATTAATAATCTATGTAAATTCTTTTTTCCTTTAATGGAATCTATGTAAGTTTTCTGGTAATATCCTTTTATTATTATTTGGTTTGATTGTCGTTTCTCTATTCTTAAGGGTTATATATATTGGTTTTTTCCCCCGCACATAGACTGTGTTTCCCTTACCTTATGAAGTTTTGGGTTTGTTTTGTTTATTTCAGTTATCGAGACTAAGGAGATATTTGGTTGGAGGATTCAAATTATGATTCTCTCATAATTTGTTACAGTATTTTCTCTCATAAAAAATACACGTAAATCGAAAATGATTCTAATCACATTATTCTAATCTATGAACCAAACATCTCTTAAGATAAAGATTGCATAGGATTTAATTTCTATAGTAAATAGGAATTGGTTAGATAATTGATATAGCATATTTGCAAGACTTAATAGAAAGATTTTATTTGATAGGAAAGAAAATATGTAAGGGATCTAATTGCATGAGAGATTTTAAATATATTGAAAAATCTAAATCTAATTTTATTTCTCTTGATATGAAAAGATCAGTGAACAGTGAAGACAATTCATGCCAAATATAATAACGAGATTTTTACGATGTATCTTAAAAAAATGAACTACTGATACGTAGTTCTTTAATTTTAACTGTCACATCTTGATTAATAATTACTTGTTATGAATATTTCTTCTATTTACTTAATTTTAACTAAATGTAACGTTAAGAAAGAGACACTATAAATAAGTGACATTACTGTAGGACAGTCATACGATAAAAGTTATAGGCTTAACCCAACTGTTGTACGTTTGTCTTTAATATTATATACACTAATTTTCTTTCTCTGTCTTCACTACTTTTCTTGATAATCTCCAAGCACATTGTAATTTTGAATCATGTTTTCTAGTTAAGATCAGGTCCTACTAAAGTGTACTACTACTCTTTCCTCTTTTTTTTTTTTTTTTTTTTTTCTCTTTTCTTTTACATGGAAACTTCTAATATTTTCATTTAACTTCATTCTCAGATTGCAGCATGGAAAAACCAATTATTAAGTTGAAGATCAAACATAAAAAGGCGAGGAGCTACTTTGATTCACTTGCAAGCGATCTTGCACTTGACATTGCCTTACGACTACCGACAATCTCAATCCGCTCTCTCAAATGCACCTGCAATTTTTCTAGTTTCCTATTGACATTTTTAATTTGCAAATGAAAAAGGTTAGTTAGTAAGGGATTATCAACCAAAAAAAAAAAAACTGGAGTTCGTCGATTCATGAATCATCCCCAATGCACATTTCTAATTATGTGCAGGTTCTTATAACAAATTTACGAGACACAGAATAGACATGTGCATTTGTAATTGGTTGAGACGGTACTGTAAAGATATGATTAATGAGATACTCTTTTAATTACCCTAGCTTGAACCAAAAAGCAAATTAGAAACTGTGTATTACTCCAGATTTCCAATTTTGTAGCTTAACTTTCAAAAAATATATATATATATATATATATATCAGCTTTTATGTTATGAGGATCAACATTAGTTTAACTAATCAAAAGGTTTTAATAGCTTGAATCAACTTCCTCCTTAAATACATAAAATCTACCATATTGTAGAGCAGTGCATAAATATATAACTAGCATTTGAGATATCTATTCATATAGTGGTTTTCCTTGGAAGCTAGCTAGTAACGTTGATATTTGTGATCAATTCGCTCTTGATCAATTGTCACTTTCTGTGTAAATGATATTGGAACCAAGCATTAGTAAGCAAAAGGGCAAGTAATAGATCGATGGTTCTCCAAAAAAAAAAATCATTTGAGATTGTCAAAGAAAATAGTAAAAGTACACCACATGGGTTATATTTAACAAGAGTGAAACTGAAATACAACATTTTTTTTCCTAAAATATTTTGATTGTTACTTCTATGCTACATAATTATGTGGTAGTTACTAAATGATTATAGTTTCTGCTATTTGTATAATGTTTCTGCTATTTGTATAATGTTACTTTTTGTTATATTTCAACATGACTAGTCAAATTATACTACATGTCGAAATTTTCTAAGATAAATATGTACCTTAAATTGTAATAATACCTGTGAGTGAGGCAGGCTTCTAACACTACTATCATATGAGCTGCTCAGCATCCGAAACAGATTCTGCTTCAAGAAGAAAAAGAAGGAAATATATGTCAGCCAAATAAAAATTAATTATAAAAGAAACGCAGAGATATATATTTCTTAAAGATATGTGTAAGTTAAAGGGCACATTAGAAGAGTTAATATGATATACAAATACCTGAATTTGTTCCTGAAGAAGCTTGATATAAAGAGAAGCCTCTTGAAGAACTGATGCAGTGTCAGTCTGCAATTTGGTTAACAATTAAACCAGTTCAATTATTTTTTCGAAATAGATAGCCAACCGTCTTATATCAAATTGCCGATTCAAATTTTAACTCATCAAAATTCAAAGAAGAATATTGAAAAAAAAAAAAAAAAAAAAAAAGAAGAAATTACAGACCTTGCCATAGGGGGAAACCAGCTTTTGAAGAGCAGTGATTTTGTCAGTGAGCTTTTGGCTTCTCCTTACAGGCAGTTCCTGCACCTACATATATAATGTGCAAAAACAATGTCAAGCACCTTATAGCTAGCTGACAGAAATACACAACCTGTAAGTACATTATATATTCCATTTTTAACTGATGTTCCCTATTAATTCTCAATGGCAAAACCAGTCAAACCTTCTTCACAAAAGATCATCCATAATTTGTTCAAAATTGGACAAAAATAGGCCTAGTTACAAGGTTGCAATTACTATACATGATTAATATACATATATATATATATATATACATACACGGGTATGTATGTATGTATATGTAATGTATACCTTGTGCTCGTGCATTCCTGTTAATGTTTCTCTCATCACTTGGTGTTGCCATTGTTGGTTATTTCCTGTCACTTTGCTTCTTTTGTTTTTTCCCCACTCATTCAAAGTTGTCCTGTCACTGAGCAGCTCGCTAATGCCACTTTTAGCGAAGATGTCATTATTAACTTCAATTGGACGTTTCCTTGCATTTCGAATAGCCTGAATTTCCTTTGAAAAAAAAAAGTTAGGAAATTGATGCTTTCATTGGATAATCAAATTTTTGCTCTCTTTTCTAATCGTACGATGATAATCTGAGTGTGTCGCTTTTCAAATTATTATTCATTGCTAACTTTTGACTGTTCACCAATTTGCTCAACCTCAACAGAACTACATCTAACAATGCTGTTTAAGGTGAAAGACTAAATCATCATATACTATTTTCTCCGCTATCATTTCTAGTCGTTTTCACTTTATCTTTATTCTCTTGTACTTCTGGTACACCCTAATGTATCTACTTATAAAAGTCAAGATCAACTACTGATCAAGATACTCAAAAGATAAAATAAAATAAAAGTACAAAGAAATTATCACCAAATAAATAAATAAATAAATGATGGATAAAGATTAACATATATACCATATCAAGTTGTGAAGCCAAAATCTTCTTGCCAAGCAACATTGACTGGTGGTGGGAGGTATTGTCAAGATCACACGAGCTAAAGACACTTGATGGAAAAACTGCTGTTTAACAATGTGAGAAAACAGTGGTCATTTTTGTCTTTTAATGGTTGTCAAATATGGGAGAGTGGGCTAAAATACAAATTTCAGGAAAGGGATGGTTGAAAAAGAGAAGAAAAGATATGTGGAAATTAGGCAAAAGTTGAGAAAAGTTGTTCCCCATAAATTATATATTAGATAGTGAAATGCAGCAAACCTGGTTGATAGGTGACAAGTGATGACTGAAAGCTGGGAAATGAGTAGTTTTCAACTCTTTGTTGGTTTTCATGATTGTCCAAGAACTTGGGCTCCAAGCAAAAGCCAGAACTCATGTTGTGGAGATTTTCATTCCACGTTTGGAGCTCGTAATTAATGTTACCTGAAACATATGGTAAGAAATTAAACACATAAAAAAATCATCAAGTTATGTCTGAATAACTTGAAGTTTATGTTAAAAAAATGAATAATTAGAATTTCAAAAGGATCGTTACCGAATTCATAATTAGGCGATACAAATGGAAGAATGGCGGGATTCCTCATGTTGACCAAATGATTGAGATCGATCTTCTGGTTGAAATGGCCTTGTTCTGAACAGTGTCAAAAGCCCTTTGAAGATCAGAGCCGGCCAGTGGCGTAAGGATACATAAATAATTGAAACTTGGGAGGAAAATTATAGTCTATGCTTATGATGAAAGAAATATAATTTTCAAAGAATTATCTTCCATATATGTAGGCCATATTTATACAGACATACGCATACATATATGACGAAAAACGCTCAAAACAAATGGCATTAATGAAAATGAATATAAGTTTTTTGTGATCAATACCAGAAAGATTTAAAAGTTTATATTGAAGAAAGGATTATGCCCTCACACAAAATAATATTATGAATTTCTTTGATATACATATATATATATATGTGACAAAATATACATACAATAAAACTTTCAAACGCAGCTAAATAAGCTCAACATCCTTAACAAAATGTGATTGGCATATGAACCTCACCTTCAATTAAAAAACGTCAGAGAACACAAGGTTTTGCTCTTTCCTCAGTCTATATATAAGCTCTAGATATTTGCAAATGAACAATTAAGCGAGGAATACAGAGGGACATATACGTGTATATATATATATATATATATATGTGTGTGTGTGTGTGTGCACGCGCATATATACATATACTTGTAAAAGAGGGGTATATATATTTTTGAGTGTAACAAACGGTTGTTTCCTTTTGGAGAGAGTTCTCTTGTCACAAGGCGCTATTTATTGCTGACTGAAACGAATTAAGGGAATATAAAACGTTCAAGTGACGCAGAAAGTCAGAACCTAATTATAATAACACTAGGACCAGGGCGGCTAATTATCTCTCTCTCTCTCTCTACACTAGGCAATATGTTATCTATCTGTTTTATTTCGCTATCACTTAATTTGACTTGCTTTTTAATATTATTTCACTGAAAGTGATTTTTCTTTTCTTCCTTTTTCTTATTTGCATTACTTTGTACGGTTACAGAAAGGAATATTAGTCCAAACTATACAATTACTTCAATGTGGGGGTTTTTATATACTTTTTTTTAGCATAGAAGCATATATATATATATATATTAAAACAGTCTATATACCTAAACTATAACTAGTCCATTTATTTAAGTCATTGTTCTAGCTAGTTATTTTGAGTCATGCGTTTTATGGGTTAGGAAAAGGATGTGTTTTAAATAGCTAGAAACAAATTAAAATTAAAATGACACAAAAGGCAATATATATACATTTCGTATTTTGTGACAAAGCAAGACTATAAATATGCGTCGTTAGGCTTTATTCACTTTGTTGATTCGAGTTTAGAATTCGAGTTGAGATGTGATTTTATGTGAGAGCTTTTTACTGTAATAAAAAAAGTTAGATGTGATTGTTTGTGAGAGCTTTTTACTGTAGAAAAACTCGAATTCTAAAATCGAATCAGCGAAGTGAACAGGACCTAAATGTCTGGACACATAATTTTCTTTTTGCTGAGAATGTATATATTGTCACATTTGTAGTATTGGCATATATAGTATTTCTTCGCCATACCTGCATATTTGTAGAAACCTCTCTTTTAGTATAAAAAATTCTTATTTTCATGTATAAGCTGTGAAGACAATTAGACAAAACGGTAAAAGCTTGTTCAAATAGGGTACATCTTTGGACCTTATAACCATATCACGTAAGAAACACAATCACGCAAAACATATATGAATTATAATGGAAATCCCTTCAATAATAAGCCTCGTTCATTTCACCGATTCAAGTTTAGAATTTGAGTTTTGCTATAGTAAAAAATCCTCAGAAACAGTCACATCTAACTTTTTTACTACAGTAAAAAGCTTTCACATAAAGTCACACCTCAACTCGAATTAAAAACTCGAATCAGCAAACTAAACAGGCATATATATATATATATATAATGGAACTCTACCATTTATGACAAAAAGAATACTGAGAATAGTAAATATATAATAAGGGATAGGGATAGTATAGTAATTAGCAGTAGCAAGAAGTAAAGCAGTTGTATAAGAATTATATTTACTGACAAAATTATCAAAGTAACAATTCATGCAATGCAATAATTATAAATCATATATATATATATAGTTATGTTAATTATATGGTATTATAAATAATGTGACTGTTGTAATTTAAAATGAACTTATTATATTACAAACATATATACACGTTGTCATGACTTGATCTGTCTTTCACTGCCTGGTTTTTATAGCTTGTCTCCACATGTGCCACCCGTTCAATAGTTAAGCATTTGACCTATTCCCACTATAGTTGACCAACATTATTAGGCTTATAATATTAATGTTATTATATTCTGATTTATATATCATCAGACACTATTAACCCGGCCAAAAGTTTTTTCATCTTTATGGGAAAATTGTAAAGATACCCTCAAGACTAGAGAAAGCGGCAATAAAAATAAAAATGTATGCCCTTCTTTAGACATTTTTAAATTCATGTCCTTCTTTTCTCCTTTTAAATTCAAGTTAAGAGAGAACAAAAATAATTAGAAGAGAAATTCTTAAATTCATGTCCTTTTCTCCTTTTAAATTCAAGTTAAGAGAGCACAAAAATAATTAGAAGAGAAATATAGCATTACTTTTTTTGTCATTTTTTTTGTCACATACTGCCTTTATTGTTTGACACTCTACTATCTCATTTTTTATTTAAATAGTAATATATAATATTAACGGAGTTCACATGTCAAACAGTGAATGCAGAGAACGATAGAAAGAGGATGCTAGCATTAGGCCTTCATATTTCTTACATTTCTCTATTTTTAATTCTACTTTTACCTCCTTTATATCTAATAATACTATTTGTGCCCTGCTCCACTTTTCTTTGTTGAATTAATTAATAAAACCGATCACCGATAGTAATGTAACAAAGTCCGGCAAATCTACAATCCTATACTAGCTAGTCCAATCAAATATGTCAATGCCGAAAGTTTAATAACTATCAAGCAATTGAATTTGAACACTATTATATTATCATATTCATAATTTAATTCCGTCAAATAAGTAGATAAGAAGCTAGCGGGCGTAGTCATTGACGCAGTACTAATCATTTATTAAACATTGATTAGAATATAAAATTCGGTTGACCAAGTTTGAACGCAAAAGTCAATATATAGGCAATCGTTTTATTATGGAACAATTATTCTTTCAGAACAATGATTATATAAACATAAGCAAAGATTAGACGTGTCTTTCTTCTACGTACTCTATTATGTATTGCATTTGCACTATTGTACTTCTTTAATTTTATATAAAATAAAAAAAGTACCCTTTATTTCGATCAATGATACGTCATGAGCCTGAAAGTTTATTGTATAAATTAATATTGAACTTCATGTCACAAAATAATGACATGTGGAGATCTTGAGTATATGCCCTAAAACTTCCAGCAAAATACCAAACAATAGAAGCTACATTATTTTATACTAGTGTTGCCAAACAATGTGGCACATATATTATGTTTATTAAATTTATAAATTAATTACGTGGTTGATATTATGTGTTTGTTTTATAGGTTTGAATTACTATTCAAACTTTTTTTATGCAGAGTTTTCTATCACAAATTTAAATTTATATCTAAACTTTTTTATTCAAACATATAAACCAAACGTACCCATAATTTTTTTTAAAACAAATTTAGTATGAGAAATTTACTGATGCATGAGCATATTTAGACTTCAGTGGCCTACATAACTTCGGCCATGAAGAAGTAGCTGAGCCCGTTTGTTGGGTGTCCACGGTTTTATAAGAGACTTCTTCGAAACGAATAGTGTTTGGAGTAAATTTCTGAGTCTGGTTTTGAGTGGTATTTAAAAATTTTGATTACTTTTTTTTATCATTTGCAACTTTTAAGAGAAATAATTGTGTCACCTTTATATCATTTACACTAGTCTTTTTCCACCCTTAAAATTAAGAGTAGTAATATTACTGAGATGAAACTTCATCGTGTATTAGCAATATAAATATATTGACATATGTAATATACACATACAATATTGTGTGTGAGTCGAACGGATATTAGCTAGCCATCTCGAATATTGTTTCAGTTTGTTTTAATTAGCTATGGAGAAAGAATCAGAATAGGCGCGAGATTAGAGAATTCTTAAAATTGAACGACGTATATTGTATTGCATGGCTGACCTACCAATTGATCGATAGAATAATATACATCCTTGAGGCTTGAAGTTGAAAATATTCCTGTGGGTATGTTTGCTAGCACATCATCATGAAGTCCCCACGAGGCCATCACCTTAATAATTTTGATCAATAGAAAATATTACAAAATTAAAAATTTATTGACACTTTCTCTTTGTCGTGTCTTCTGATTTTTTTTTTCTCTAATTAATGACGTGTTTAATTTCTGGCCAAAGAACATGTAAAAGTAAATGAAAAATACGAGAAAATCGAGCCCAACAAAAAACCAAGAAATAAGTGAGGAGAGGCGGATTTAGAAAATATGAGACAAATAATTTTTAAAATGTATGAGTATTATATTTTTACTTTTTATTTTTTATTAATATTTTTTAGTTAAAGAATTATATTAGTCAAAAAGATATTAATTAAGAGCTGAAAGTAAATATCTTAAAATAATACATTAAAATTGTGAGTTCACTAATTTTTTGTACAAAAACATAATTTTAAATTTTTTTAAAAAATGATGTGTTCGTGTGTGATTTTGGGGTTGTTTGGCAGCCTCATTCTTGAATTAAAAATTAAAAAAAAAAAGCAACTCGAGTTACAACTTTATTCAAATTTATGTTCTTTTAAGTTTGAACTCGAGTTTGGGACTAAAACTCGAGTTCAAGTTTCCCCTTCAACTCGAGTTCAGAAACTCGAATTCAAATTAATGACCAGTATTTTTTCTATTCTTAAAAATGTTATAACTTTTTCGTTTTAATTCTGATTGAGATGATTTTTTTTCTATGCGTTGACAACGAAAAGACAAATAAAACCTCACCCATATACCCTATTAAAATTTTCCATCAGCATTGAGTTTTTATTAAAATACTATCTGAACACAAATTCAAGTTTTGACTCACTCAAACACAAACTCAAAAAGATTATTATCTCAAACCATAACTTAAATGTACACAACCAAACACAAACTCAAGTTACAACTTCAACTCAAATTATAACTCAAACTCAACTCAAAATCTACACTCAAATCACCTAACGAAAAAACAACAAAAGAACAGCCCCTTTATTTTTTTAAGGAAACATTTACAATCAAAACTAAAAGAACAAAAAAAAAAAAAAAAGATTAGGTGAGTCGGTTGTGTGCTGTTGCCAATGTGTTGTTACGCAGCTGTAAATAAAATTATACATATTTTAAGTAAATGTCAAAATTTAGGAGCGCAACTATTAAATTTTAACTTAAGAGACGTTTGGTTCATGAATTAGAATTATGAGATTAGAACTATTTTTTATTTATGTGTATTTTTTGTGAGAGAAAATACTGTAGCGAACCATGAATTATAATTCGAATCAGGGTACGAATCCCCTTACTAAACGTCCCTTTAGTTTTGTATTTGGAAAGAAAATGAGATGGAAAGAAAAACTATAAAGGATAGAAAATCAAAATTAAAGGAAAAAAAAAGTTTATGGTTTTCTCTTTAATTGTTTGGTATGATAGCAGAAAATGAATTTATCTTTTCTTATAACAAAAATATTAGAAGAATTATTTTAGAGACAATTACCATTTTATCCAAGTAGTATTAACTAGATTTCTTTTTAATTCTAAAAAAGTAATAAAAAATTTATTATTTTTTGTCATTAATGTTCGAGAGGTCCCTGCTTTCTTTTCTTTCTAGATTTAGTCTTTATAGTAAAAATTGTTCTATCTTGAACCTTAAACTCTTTAAGTGTCTCAACTTTAGTCCTTCAGTTAAAATTTTATTAAAATTTGGGTGGAAATTTATGACAATCTTGTAATTTCACCTTAAATAATGAACAATCTTGTAATTTTGTAATATCCTTTTTTTTTTCTTTATGTGTTTTTACTAAATATGCTTTATTATTATTTTTTAGATTAAACACAAACACTTAAACAGTAGAACTTTTTTTTCTGTTTATGTTTAATTTTCTCTGATATGTTTCTTTGTACTTTATTGTTGTTGGCGTGTATTAGATTTTTTTTTTTTTTTTTTTGCTTTACAGTTTGAGATTAATGAGTTTTAAGATACGAAAATTACTAATTACTTTTCTATGTAAAATGTAAATTAAAGCCATTATAACTTTTTTTTCTTATGTATGAATTTAAACAAAGAGATTCCATTTACACATGATCTATAACTTAAATTGGACTTTTTCCTCCCACCAACTTTAAAAAGCTGCCTCCAAGAAAAAAAAAAAAAAAGTTATATGTTAGTTTCACGGTCAGATTGTTTAGCCTTTTTTATTTTTAAGAAAAGTCTGATTATGAACAAATTTATAAAAATTTATTTGTTACTAATTTATTTTGGCGCTTCATTGTTGCTATGAGCAAAAATTTTGTTTAGTATCTGTTAACCATCTTATTCTAAAATCACGGTCAGCTTCACCCTAAGTAATTCTTCCTTCTCTTTTTTCCCCATTAATTGCAACTTTTTCTATTCAAAATTTAACGGAATTTTAACTGAGAGACTACATTTGAGACACTTAGAGTATGTTTATTTATATAACTCAAGTTATAAATTAAGTTGTGTATGTGAGAGAAAAATACAATACAAAAAAGTTAAATTTAAATTTTTATGAGAAAAATAACTGTAATAATATGACTTGAATCATTTTAAGAACAAGACTTTAAATGAGACTTTAAATAGTTTAGTAACCCTGCTCAATTTACTTTACTGTCAGCATTTTGCATTTCATTTTCCACCAATTTGTGGAAGGACAAACTATAATGGGACCCACTCTCTAGTTTTTCCAATAAAATTTCATTTCCATCCAAACTTCCCTCCTACCAAACATCTCAAATTACCAATTTCTATTCCAAAATCCCTCCTTACTTCCAACTTTCACTTATACTAAACGGAATATAAGAGTCTCACATGGATTGGATGGTGATGGTTTATAACAAACCTTTGCCTTATTATAAATAGTCTAAGCTCTCCAAGTTTTAGTATCCAAAAGACAGAATCAATTGGTACTTTGTGTTTTAACATAATTATCTTTTAGTACTTTACATTTTTAGTAATTTTAAATTAATATTTTTACGTTTTATAACATTATTTTTTAGTACCTTGAAGTTATTTTTTAAGATATAAAATGTTAAATTTACCATTCTCATTACTTTACCAAAAATTAATAAATTTAGAAAAAAATTTGAAAAAGTTATTTTAAATTTAAAGCATTATTTGTATTTTTAATTTTTAAATCTTTAAAAAAAATTTAGAATTTTTCTAAATTTATTATTAATTTTTTTGGTTAATTAATAAGAAAGGTAACTTTGACATTTTACATTTTAAAAATGCTAGACGACAACAAAACTATGTAGAACCACTGTTGTTAGTGGTAGTGATTAGTATAAGATTCATCTTGCGGTGTTAGGTTGGATACGTGGTATCACTCGTTCTCTTTAAAATGTTAGGGAAACAAAAACTAGTTCTTTTTTATTACTTTATGTTTTAGAAATAATATTTTTAGGATTATGAAGTTTGATTAATTTTAGACTGTAATAGAATGTACCTCAATTAGACAAAAAAAAGAGTGAGAAAATTGGTTAACTCACCATGTACGTGAGATTTTTATTCTTTATTCTTAATTAATACCCTATTAATTAATATAATTTTTTGACTAAAGACTATTAATTAAGATTAATGGGTGAAAATTTAAGACTCATGCATTTTAAAAGATATTTGTCTCATTTTCTCAATAAAAAAAAAATCTTTCACCTTAAAATGGTTACGTAATAAAAAATAATTTACATTTTTTATTACAAAGTTCACTTTTTACAAATAAAAGGGGGGAGGAAGTAATGATTTTTATGGGAGAATCTAGCAATTTCATTCCCTTAAAAAAATGAGAAAGAAGTAAATAGCATATTTATAGTAAATAATTAAAGTAAAGAGTATATTTTAAAATTATTTAAAGTTACTGTGTAAATTTTATTTTCACGACTAGTAAAATGATTCTTTTCCACATAAATTTTTTCTTACAACTGGTAAAAAAGATTTTTTCACAGAAATAAAATTTTTTTTTACTATGTAAATTATTTTTTTATCAATCATAAATAGAAAATTACACGATAAATTACTATTTACTTAAAATAATTTTAAAAATTGCTATGCACTTAATTTAGTTTCATAAATCTGTTATTTACAACAAATTTCTATAAAAAAAAGTAATTATAATAAATGGCATGACCAATAGAAAGTGATCTTTCTCTAATTACCTAGTTGTCATCCCTTGATGTAGTAAATAACATATTTATGAGACTAAATTAAGTAAATAGCTTATTTTAAAACTAGTTAAATTAAACAAAAATTTACCGCGTAAATGTTTCATTTAAGACTAATAAATTCTTTTCCACGTAAATTTTCTTTTTAAGAATGCTAAAAGAATTTTTTTCCACGTGAATACAGTTTTTTTACCATATAAATTATTTTTTATCAGTGATAATGACTCATCTACATGATAAACTAACATTTACTTCAAATAATTTTAAAATATGCTATTTACTTAATTTAGTTTAAAAAATTTACTATTTACTATAATTTTCCTTTCAGAGTGATAACATCAAAAATATATGAGTAATCTTGACAAATATTTTATGAAAGTGCACGGGTCAAGATTTTTACTCTTTGTTATTAATTCATAACATTTTTAATCAAATAATTACACTAATAAAATAATATTTATCAAAAATAAAAAATAAAAGTCACTCATACATTCTTAAAAAATATATATATATATTTTTTCAAAATATATATATAGTCACGGTTATCCTGGACTTCTTTCCGGAAAAAGTAGCCTGTTTGAAAGAAAGGGCGGGTAATTGTGGGGCTTCCTACAATGATCGTTTTTGGGCTACATCCTAGTATAGTCCGGTCCGTCTTTAGCGCTCCAAACTTCAAGAATTCGAAGCCCAACAAGGAGAGAAGGGCGAAGCAGTAATTTTACCTCCATTTCGATCAAATATATTCCAGATTAGGGTTTCACATCCATCCCTTCAAAATCAGGAAGAAACCCTAGTAGCTCTTAGAGATAAGAGGCGCCTCTGAACATTCGACGGTACGAAATACTCGGTTTTTTTTGGGTTCGCTTTAGGCTAATAGCAACGTCTCTCTTTTTTTTTTTTTTTTTTTTTTTTTTTTTTTTAAATAATAATAAGCTTTGTATGTGATATGACTGAGTTTTGTTCTGTTTTTGACTATTGTTTGCTCGCCGAGAAAATTTGAGGGTAAAAAAAGTTAACAATCACCTTTTGTCGTCTGATGTTGCCTCGTAATTTAGCTGCCTTTTTATTGTATGCGTCTTCTTCTTCCTTTTTTTTTTCTTGGTTAATTTTAAAATTTGGTTTTTATTAGTACTTTATTTCTATTTTGTGGATCTAGGCCCCATTGCAAGATTTATGTGTATATATACACGCACACATCGTATATATTTCTCTCTTAGAAATCAACCCTAGCCGCATCTTGTTCCAGGTGCCTCTCTGTTACGCTCACCTCTGCCCCTCTCTCTCATTCATTCCCTCAGTCTCTCACTCTAATTTTCTTAAACTCTAGTTTTAGGTTTTTCTTTGTTTCAAAATCAGAATTCTCATATAATTTTTTTTTTTTGGCACAAAAATCGTTTTTTGGACTTTGGGGTTTTGTTATTTTCTGGTCATTTTTCTAATCTGGTTTGTGATACTGAAAATATTGTGATTTGCGAACGTGTGATGGCAGAGTTTGTTTTATTTTAGTTTTAGGTTAGATTAAAAAAATTTGCGAATGTGTAATATTTTGCTAAAAATTCAAGATAACTTGTTAATGTCTTCTTTTTGTTGTTATGATTTGTTTGTAATTTAAGTTGGTAAATTCGGCTTATTCAATAAGTTTATTTCTGAAATATAGTGTTTTATCCCATTTCATTTGAGCATTTGAGGATCTCATTTGTAAGTGTACAATTATATGCAGAAGCTACAATGGTGAGAATCAGTGTTCTCAATGATGCTCTCAAGAGCATGTACAATGCAGAGAAAAGGGGGAAGCGCCAGGTCATGATCAGACCATCCTCGAAGGTGATCATCAAGTTTCTTTTGGTGATGCAGAAGCATGGTGAGGTTCCATTCTTTTATATGTAATATGAATGGAGTCGTTTTACTTTGTGTTTACCCCCGTTGTTTTTGTCTATGATAGGATACATCGGTGAGTTCGAGTATGTTGATGATCACAGGGCTGGTAAAATTGTGGTCGAACTGAATGGAAGGCTGAATAAGTGTGGAGTTATTAGTCCGCGCTTTGATATTGGTGTTAAGGAGATTGAGGGTTGGACTGCGAGATTGCTTCCTTCAAGACAGGTTAGCCCAACTACCAAATCTTTTGGGTTTGATTTTGTGCTGAGAATATTCAAAGCCTTGAAACAGGATAAACTGTTTCATTTGCTTGTCCATGTTTAAGAATGAATCGACCGTGGTTCACAAAATAACTATACTACAAGAATGAACAAAATAACTTTGGTTCAGGGCACACAAATATATATGGTTTTTTGTCTCTGATCTCCTTTAGGTTTTCATAGTCTTATTGGTATGTAGCTGAGGGTCCTCTTGCTAAAAGTATTTCTCAACTAAGGGGTTGTTTGGTAATATACTCAAAACTCAAACCGTGGTTCTGCTATAATGTTTTTCTCTCACAAAGAATTTGAATAACAAAAATTCCCTCCAATAATTCTCTCACAAAGAATTTGAATCAAAACCCAAATCATGGTTCAACTTCACTCCAAACGGGCCCTAAGATTATTTTGCAATTTTGCTTACCGCTATTATCAAAATATTGCAGTTTGGTTACATTGTATTGACAACTTCAGCTGGCATCATGGATCATGAAGAGGCTCGTAGAAAGAATGTCGGTGGTAAAGTGCTCGGTTTCTTTTATTAGTTCAAGCTTGCTTAAAGAACGAGGGTAGAATTTTTTCAGTCCGAGGAGCATTTTGGTGTATTCCGAAACATGCGTAGATTAGGTCTATGTTCTGTTTGATTTTGTGCTGTTTTGAATGCGAGTTTATCAAATTGTTATTTGCATTCTTTAAAGAGACAAGAATTTTGTTTTTGCAAGTTGCACTTTCCCTATAAGCAATTCATGCTTCTTATCTTGTTTCTCGTCACTAGTATCTTAACTAAATTCCAACGATCACAAAGTGACATGTTAGAAAAAATGAAACTTACTGTATGGCTTCAAGAGTGGCTCCAAATGTATTCATTATATGAATATCTTGTTAAATGCTGTTCAACTAACCAACTACCTCCGTTGACAATGCTCTTGAACGTCTGTAAGGAGCTTGTATCCCTGCCTTTGAATCAAAGCAAACACCCTCAGTTTAGAATACTTTTGGCACCTCTCTTGGGAGATAAACGACACTGGTTTTGTGAGTTGCTATGCAGAGCACCCTCAAACAACGCCAGTTTAGTCTAAATGGGCATAGGTTCGAAATTATTGAAGTTGGTTATCGGTTTGAACTGTTCAGGGTTTTTCCCCACAAAAATTTGAAAGTTTATCCTAAACTTACAAACTAAACGCCTATTGATTTGTTGGCGTTTGGTGACTCGTTGCAATCGTGATCGCAATTAATTTTTTGATAATTATGGTATTTGTCGCACCACAACTTTTCAATCAAGTAAAGAATGAGAAAGAGGTAAAAAGCTATGTTTGTTTCAACGGTTTAAACTGTTAGAGGATTTAAATTGTGTTTGAGAGAGAAAAGTTCAAGGGCAATTCAAACTATTAACAATTATTTAAGGATAATTTAAATTGTTGATTTTATAATTCATCTCCCCTTAAATTCAAATAATCTAATGTCTCGTTCACTTTGTAGATTTGAGTTTTCAATTCGAGCTGAGATGTGATATTTTTTGAGAGTTTTTTACTGTAGCAGAAAAAATTAGATGTGATATTTTTTGAGTTTTACTGTAGAAACTTAAAATTAAAAACTCGAATTGGTGAAATGAACGAGTCGTAAATTATTGTCAATAATTCAATAGTTTCATATTTTACTTTTTCTCTCTTTAATTTTAATTTTAAAAATATCATAATTTATTCGTTTTAATTTTGATTGAAATGATTTTTTTTAATGTGCTCATAATGAAGAGGAATAAATCTCTACTCATATTGCATATCTTTTAATGTCATTTATAATGGGGTTTTATAAGATTTGTTATAAAACTCTAATGACAGTTTTCAAGACTTTATCTAAACACAGTTTTAATTTTATTCTCAATTCAAATTATAATTTATTTACCTATTCAAACAACAATTCAGATCACAGTTTAAATTGTCACAGTTTAAAATTTACAATTTTAACTAAAAAGGTTTAAATCTCCGCTATTTGAGTTGTTAAACTAAACAAGCCCAAAATTAAAAAGCATTGGGCTTGTTTGGTAGGGTTCTCTTAGTCCAACTTGAGCATAGCATGAACGGTAAATTATTTCTAACATGTTGGTATAGTTACAATATTACTAGTTACTTTCAAGTTTCAACTATTAGTCAGCTGATGAGGTTGGTAAGAACTCGTTTCGAGTCCATTCTATTGCGGTGTTTAAAAAGAATGAGAAATGAGATAAATATCCATTTAGATTACATAAATCATGATTTTTATTTTTTATTCTTAATTAGTATTTTTTTAATTAGATATTATATTAATTAAAAGAGTATTAATAAAGAATAAGTGATAAAAATCTAAACTTTTATCTTTTATTCTTAATTAGTATCATTTTAATTAGATATTATATTAATTAAAAAAGTATTAATAAAAAATAAGTGGTAAAGATCTAAACTTATATACTTCAAAAGATAAGCTCAGTATTTTTTCTTGAAAAATGTGATTTTGTTGGGGACTATATGCCATACAAGATATCTCATCTGCCCTTGCTCCTTTTCTTATATATATATAATATAATATATGTAAATCTCTTATCTCAGGTTACAGAGTTATTTTTCAACAAAACAAAACAAAAAGTACGTGTATAATAGACGAAGAAGTTGAGAAATTATGTCGACATTTTGTCAAAACGGACCACTCGTTCAATGACTTGTTATTTCCCTACCTTTAGCTAATTAAGAGATTGCAAATTCAGAAAGATTTGGTGTGGTATGGTCCAATAGAATTACACATATATTAGAAACATGACTCATAAATTAGTACTAGATGTAAAACACTACTAAACCTAATTATGATAAAGGAAACAGAAACAGAAAAACAAAAAGAAAGCGGATACAAAAAATAAAAGATAAAAAAGAGCCCTCAACTCAACATAGAATGGATGTAATTGGGTCTTGGCTACGATCACTAGAAAAAGGAGGAAAAGAAAAACAAAACACTCAGTTCTCGAAGCATAATTACCAAGCCAAAAATAAAAATAAAAAACAGCATGGTTGTAACTTATAAGACATTGCCAAAGGTTGAAGTTGCCCTAGTTTTGCTTTTGATCTTCTTGATCAACCCATTTCATCGTTTTCCTCGTCTTTGATACCGATGTTGTCGACACTATTAAGAAGAAAAAGAAGAAGAAGAGGAACACCACAAGCCTTGAATTCCATTGGCTTCACCCGAAGAAGAAGTTTTAGTGATATTCTTTCTAGGACGAGGAAGAGCAATTGAGCTTTCTGAGCGTTGGAAAGTTGATGAACATGGACATTTTGGTGGCCTTTTGTAAATGTAGGGAAGGTGGGGAGAGGATCTTCTCAGCATATACTTGTGAGCACAATTTTTTTTTTTTTCCTCCCATTCACTTTTTGCTAACTTAACTTTAGTGTTTCCTTTTGTCATGTTTTTTATTATTAGTTTTTTGACATGTATTATATTTCACGTGGTGCTCCATAAGAATATCCAATATATGAATGACAATTTTAAGTGACGCTATTCAATATCGACATCTTAGTGATTCTTAAGTGTTCATTTTTAATTTTCTTGCTTTTAATGATTAGATTAGATTAGATTAGATTACTCAATTTATTTTCACGATTAACTTTTTACTTGAAATGTGAAATGTACTAAAAATTTTCTGAATTGTCTTGATTTAGATTGTGACTTGTTAAGAATAACTCAAACAAACTTCTTTTGGGCCAAAAAAAGAAAAAAAGAAAGGAAAAAAAATTAAAAACCCCAACGGCAGTGAGAATAATATATCTAAATGATTTAGGGACCAACGTGTGACGTGCACCTAAAATGCATCCAACCTTTTGTTTAAGCAAATAATTTTGATTCGTCCCATGTAGCAATTTGCATTATTTTATTCTCTCATCTTGTTTTTGATATATATTATAGGCTTTTATCTAGGGAATATACAGTTTGTTAACCCCTTTTTATCACTCCCACAATTTTTTTCTAATAAAAAAAGAGTTTTCCAAGCATGTATTTTTTTTTTTTTTTGAAGGCTTCAAAGCAAGTATTTTATGTTTATGTTTTATACGATATTATATCACCACGCGAAAAAATAAAATAAAGGAAAAGGGCCCGAACTTGTTCCTAGACGCAAATGCAAACCGAAATGCAATAGCATTAGCTTGAGAAAATACACCATATAACATATTTCATTCCTTTGAAGTAAATAATATATTTTTTAAATAATAATAAATTATAACATATTTTCATTTTATTTTTAGAATATATATTTTATTTCCACATTTACCCATTTTCAGATCTAATCCCAAAACCAAACCCTAATCTCATATTTTCTCTCACATCCGTATCTCTTTCCCTCTCGTATCTCATTCCCGTCGCCGAAAAAGAAGAGAAATCGGTGGGCGCGACGGGATGACGATCACTAATCTCAAGATTGTCGCGTTGTGGTGGAGTTCGATCGCGATCTCTGTCGCAATCTCCGCCTCATGGCCGATCTCTATTTTTTTTGCTCTTTGTTTACAGGCTCGCCGGCGTTTGGTTGCCGATTTGTTGTCACTGTTGCTTCCCATAGCTGGAGAAGGAAGATTCGCGAGCAGATCCGTGGTAGGGCGAAGTCACGCTGGTACTCCGAATTAAAGCCGGAGAATTGCAGGATCAGAGGTCTTTGGAGCCGGATCTGGTCGAATCAGAGCGCCGGCGAGGTCGTGGACGACGACTTTAAGGTCGGTGGCTTTTTGCAGATCGGTGGTGTGATTTGAATTTTTTTTATCTGAGTTTGTGATTGAGATCTGAGAAATTGTGGATTTTTGTTAGTTTGCAACAGTGTATATATAGGTTGGTCAACAAGGGATGTCGTTTGACAATATGGTTTGATTAATATATATACATTGATATTTTGTAATTGTCTTAATGTTCGCGATATATACACAAAAATTGGAAAGAAGCCTGACAAATGAACAAAATATTATGATATGAACAGTATTCTTATTGGATTTTGGTACATAGCTAGGATTTTGTTGTTCTTAGGAAACCACATTTTGATCCTTATTTGATTAAAAAAAATTTGAATTTAAAAAGGGGTTGCTTTTATTTATACATGAACCATCTGTCACTATTTATTTATCTTATGATCTCTCAATTTACCGGTAAATACAGTATTTATCATTATATACATTGTTAAACAGTCGTCAAAATTGATGTCAGATATTTATATTAATACGATATTTATTGATAAATACGGTATTTACCAGTAAATATAGTGTTAAACGGTCGCCGGAGTCGGTGACTAAATTTTCAGATAAATAGGATATTTACTTGTGAACATGTCAGATATTTATATTAATACGATATTTATTGATAAATACGGTATTTATCAGTAAATATAGTGTTAAACGGTCGCCGGAGTCGGTGACTAAATTTTCAGATAAATAGGATATTTACTTGTGAATACGGTATTTAATAGTAAATATGGTATTTACCGGTAAAACGGTGCTTACCGAAAAGACAGTATTAAACGATTGCTGGAGTCAACGTCAATTTTTGGATAAATATGATATTTATAGGTAAATACGGTATTTATCTGTAAATATAGTATTAAACAGTCGTCAAAGTCGGTGACTGGATTTTTAAATAAATATGATATTTATTAGTAAATACGACATTTATCGGTAAATACAGTGTTAAACGGTTGCCGGAGTCAGTGGTCAAATTTTTAGATAAATATGATACTAATAAATACAATATTTATTGGTAAATACAGTGTTAAATGGTCGCCTAAATTGATGGTTGGATTTTTAGATGAATTATGATATTTACTAGTAAATACAATATTTACCGGTAAATACAGTGTTAAACGGTCATCGGAATCAGTGGCCGGATCTTTAGATAAATATGATATTTATTAATAAATACGGTAATTACTGGTAAATACAGTATTAAACGGTCATTGGAGTTGGCGGCTGGATTTTTGAGTAAAAATGATAATGATTGGTAAATACGGTATTTATTAGTAAATTCGGTATTTACCGGTAAATACAGTGTTAAACGCTCACCGGAAAAATGATTGCCGAATTTTTAGATAAATATGATATTTACTAGTAAATACAGTGTTAAACGGTCGTCAAAAAATGATAGTAGGAGCTGGTCGCCAAAGCCGGCAGTTGGTCCCAACTATAGTGGACTTGATTATAATCTACCTATTTTAAAAATATACTATAATTTACTATTTTTTTAAAAAAATATATGTTTAGGGTAGAGGAGTGAAGTGGAAGAGGATCAGTGTTGCAAGTTCAGGCGGCGGGCATACCCGATCTCTGAAAATTTTCGGGCATAGCGGGTAGGTGCCATTCGCCGCCCGTCCATGGTATTTTTCAGGCACGGGCTTAGGCAGCTCGAAAATATTCATTTCCCTGACTGCCCGCGGCCGTGGAGAAGTCGTTTTTTTTTTTAATTTTTCGGCGTAACCCGAATGTGCCCGAATTTTGCCCGAATTTTTTTTACCGTTGCCCGAATTTTACCCGTGCCCGAAAAATGCCTGAATTTTTTTGACCGTTAGCCTGAAATTCGCCTGAATTTTGAACCCAACGGATCTTTTTGTCCGAACCTGACCCGTCGCCCGATTTTTGCCCAACAATTTGATCCTAACGGCTATATTTTTGACCATTGCCCGACTTGCCCGAATTCTGCCCGACCCGCCCGATTGCGCGAAAATGTTACTAGCCATTGGACCTGAATTTTTGGGGGAAATTTTTTTTTTTCAAGCCAACAATTTTCCTATAAATACCCCCCTTCCCCCAACCATTTTCCTTACCCAAAAACTCTCATTCTCTCTCAATTTGTCTTAATCTCTCTTAGTCTCTCTCAAATCTCTCTTAATCTCACTTAAATCTCTCTCAATCTCTCTTAATCTCTCTCAAAGCGTTCTCAATCTCTCTTATTTTTCATAATGGCTTCTTCTGGTTATGGTGGTGATATTCCCATTGATGCCCAATTCAACATCGAAGAAGGGCAATTTCTTAATATTTTTCAAACGCAGGAATCGCAAACTACAGAAAGAGTTGCTGAGGAAACTGCAAATCTGACCCCTGGTAGACATACTAGAGGTCGGGGACGTAATGGTGGTGGCACTGATGGCCGTGGAGGAGAGGCAAATGGTAGTGCTAGTGCAAGTGTTGCTAGTTCTAAGAAGAAATGGAAGCGCACTTCAGCAGTTTGGGAGCACTTCAACACATTTGAGGAGGTCGACAATAACGGTAACATTAAATACATAGCTCAATGTAAATATTGTGGTGAGAAATTACAATGTAACACTATTCACGACACTACACACTTAAGAAAACACTCTGAAAAGTGTCTTCAAAAGCAAGGAGACGGAGCTGATCTCCGCTAAACGCAATTATCGTTTGACCGCCAAACCGGCGGTCTAAGCACATGGAAATACGATCCGCAAGTTGATCGTATGGAAATGTCACGATTAATAGCCACATTAAATCAACCACTAAGTTTTACTGAATAAAGAAATTGGCAGCGTTATATTAAAATTGTACATAATCCTGATGCACAATTTTTTTCTAGAACTACTCTTAAGAAAGATGCATTAAAATTATATAAACAAGAAAATGAAGCATTAATCAACCTTCTACACTCTACTAGTGGTTGCGTTGCGTTAACGGCGGATATTTGGTCTGTCGTTGCCAACAAAGATTATTTAGCTGTAACCGGACATTATTATAAAGGTTTTGATTTGGATAAGAGAATCTTAAGTTTTAAATGTGTTAGAGGGTCACATACTGCCAATTTAATATATAACACAATTTTATCTGTTATTGATGAATATAATTTAAGAGACAGAATAATGGCCATAACATTAGATAATGCAACTGCAAATACTAAAGCAATAGAACTTTTTGAAAATGATTTAAGTTTATTCGGTAATAATGATATATTTCACCAACGTTGTGCATGTCATATAATTAATTTAATAGTAAAATTCGGTTTAAAATCAATGTCATGTCATATTAAAAGAATTAGAGATAACATTGTTTAGATTCAAGGTAGTAATCAAAGAATACAAGATTGGTTTAGATTTCTACAAGCATGTAATCAAAATCCTAGAGCATTAGCCTTAGATATACCCATAAGATGGAACTCCACTTATATAATGCTTGAACAATGTATCCCCTATAAAGATGTTATAACAAATTATGTTAGTGCAAAATTAGGACCGGGATTTATAGATGAAACTGATTGGCAAGTTGCTGAACTCTTGTATAACTGTTTAGGTAGATTTCACGAAGTTACCTTAAAGCTTAGTAAAACTTATTACCCAACGTCACCATTAGTGTTAGGAGAACTTTTAAGAATGCCTATTTTATTTAGTAAATTTAGGACACACGAGGTTTTAGGAGTTCCTATCGCCTCTATGGAAAAGAAGTTTAAGAAATATTGGTCTAAATTGCCCATGTTATATGGTTTCGATGTTATTTTCGACCCTAGATTAAAATTAGAAGGTTTAGAAAGTGGATTAGATAACTTAGGTGAATTTTTAGCTATCGACACTACTGACCAATTTCTTATTGTAAAGGAAAAAAAAATTCTCTCTATATCTCTTACGAAAGTAGGTTTAGAAACACACCTCATGTTGAACAACCGCAACAACAAGACGACAATCCGCATTCATTCTTGAATGTTTTCGGGCTGTCTAAGAAGAAGAAGAAGAAGACGACTCAAGGTCAAGAAGAATCTAGGAGTGGATATTCGTCAAGAGGTGGCGGCAACAGCGGCGGATTCAACGAGTTAATGGCGTTCCTGAGTGAGGGCTTAGTTGTAGACAATAGTGAAATGTTTGATTTGGTTCAGTGGTGGAGGGCACGAGCATTAACTTGGCCAATCCTAACACGATTGGCAATGGATATTTGTTCGATCACGGTCTCCATTGTTGCAGCCAAACAAGCATTCAGTACAACCGGCCGAATACGTGAAGAACAGAGAAACGCATTGCAACAGATACTGTTGAAGCTTTGGTGTGCATCAAGGATTGGGATCGTTCCGACCAACGCTTACACGATACAATCTCACCGGCAAGCCAAGAATGGATCAACAAGTTTAATATATTAACTTTTAATTTTCAAGACGATCCTTCTGCTTCAAATTAAATTTTATTATTGTAATTTGTAAATATTTATTTACTTTGTAATTTCTAATTTTTATAGTGTTATTGTAATCTTGTATAGACTTTGTAAGTTCGTCAAATTTGTAATTCGTCCCACAATGATTGCACTCTTTTTTCCTTACCAAGTTTTTATCCCAATTGGGTTTTTCTTGGTAAGGTTTTTAATGAGGCAATCATGAATTACAAATTTAAAAATCAATGAAGAAGTAATTTTTTTTATATAGTTCGTTCGTGTGTTCAGTGTTCATTTCATATTTCAAATTGTAATATACACATTGTAATTATCCTACCCGAAGCCCGTCCATGGTGAAATTTGTGTCGGGTCGGGCAGCCCGAATTTTCGGGCAGTTCGGGTTCAGTACTCAGGCAAAAATTCAAACTTTTCAGTGGTCGCGGGCGGCCCGTCCAAAATTTCAGCACTAACTAGGATGTTGTTATTTTGGGGTTTTAATAATGTTTAAAACTTAAAATTTTAAATTACGCCATAATTTATTAATTTTTAAATATATTCTATAATTTACTAATCACTCTACTTTATATCCCTCTTTATCTTAACTTAGAGTCTTTATTCCTATAAAAAATTACCGGCAGTTTATTTTTTTTCATCCCACTAAAAAAAAGAACTTTTTTAGAGTTCTTAATAGAATAAACATTTATCTTTCCATTTATCTTTGTATCATCAATTTTTATGTACGTTTTTGCTTGATTTTCTTATTACTTGTTGCGATGACAAACATTTACAATATATATATATATATATATATATATAATTTTTTTTTTTTGAAAGAAAGAAAAAACAAAACAAAAAATGCTGCAGATGTTATTGAGAATTAATTAACAAGGTTTTTATAATAACAAAAACAAAGGTACTCTTTGGTATTGATTTCTGCTGTTTTCTAAAACGTTTTTGCACATTTTTAAGACAAAAGCGAAATAGATTTCTAAACAGCATTTTGGTTAGCAAATGCTTTGAAATTACGAACAGGAAAAAAATGAGAATGAACTCTGTTAAGAAAATAGAAAATTGTTAAAAATTATTTTGACATTTCTGTTTTCATTTTCTATGACTGTAAGTCAATAAACTTTTCTAAACAACAAATCAAATTTCCACAATTTTTCCGCTCAAACAAAATTAAAGAGAATTTGGAGAGAAAGAGAACTGGTTTGAGAAGAATCTTATTCATGATTATACCCAAGACTTCTATAGTCAAGGGAAGGCATTAATTACTCCTTTGGAAACGAAACATCTCTAACAGGGATGTGAAAAGAAAAGGCATAAATTAGCTTAGCATATTCGAAGGTTAGCACGTTTATACAAGCCATTTCATCATAATATGAAGAAGATATTCATAAAAATAGATGACATGTTTGACTGCATAAAGTTTTATGGGATGTCAATACATCAACAACGATCTGAGCAGAGACTTAATGCTGAGCATTTTTCTTGATAAGAAGCTCAAACCTGATTATCTTATCTACATCAAGGGAAGTGACACATGGAACAGTCAATGATGACAAGCTCCCCAAGGCAAAACACAGATAAGAGAAGACAGAAGAAAGTCTTTTTATAAATTCCACAGATAAAAATGGAAGCGGGAAAAAGAACTACTACCTTTGATACTAAGGCTGGTAGCGGAAAAATATAAAAAAGAGGGACAAAATCATTAGCTTGTCAAATTTAGTTTTAAAACCGAGATCAGGTGCAAGCTTCGGAATCTTTCCCCTCTTTTCTGATATAGTTTTTTTAGTTCCGTTAATTATGAGCCACAGCAAGCTGACTTCGCTCCTGCTTGTCCACCGGCAGCGGCTTGGTCGGGTTGGGTAATCTTAATTGTCTGAGGCTGGAAAATAAAAGTGAAAAGGCTATTAGTATTATTATTCACTTTGGATGGAAGAAAACGGATGCTTTTTGAAAAGCAACAAAGAATGGAGGAAATAAGAGTCAAAAGAGGTAATTTGGGAGAAGAAGGCACACCTCAGCACCCTTTGAATCAGATTCTGCAAGTCTTTGCTTAATATCCCTTGCTATTGAAAAGAAAACTTCCTCCACATTCAGATTTGTCTTTGCACTCTGCAGAACATATAAATATGAAATAAGCATTAACAAAACCATCTTTTTATTTTCCGAATAGGAACTTCAAGCTTAAAAGCATATGGCTGCTTACAGTTTCAAAGAACTTGATACCATATTCATCAGCAAGAGCTTGACCCTTGGAAGTAGGAACCGCCTAGAAAAAGAAAATAATTTCATTGTCGGAGCATAATTGAATTGCAAGTTGCACACAGTTACACAAAACAATACATGAAGAAAAGGACTCACAGAAGGAGCTCATCTCCAGCATCAGAGATTCATGGTGGAGAAAGGACAGAAAAAAGTATTTAACTTCATTAAAAATTCATCTTTATATCATGCGACTAGGTGATCACGAAGAGCATCTCAATGCAAGAGAACAAGTGCATGCCCATGAACAGACATTTGTTGTCATTTCATGACGGTAAGAACAAAAAGTTATGAACTTTAATTTATGCAAGTGAATAGTTAAGAATACCCACCCTTTTGCTTTCATCCATATCAGCCTTGTTGCCCACCAAGATCTTGTTTACATTATCAGAAGCATGTTGTTCGATGTTGCGAATCCAGTTCCTAATGTCTGCACATGAAGAGAAATTGAGTCTAACAGTTTCTACATCTACAAAAATAATTATAAAAGTGATACAAGATATGGATGAAGTTCGACTACAGTAAATTCGCTTCTTCAACCATCCAATGGAACCAACATAAAATGGGATCATAAGACGTCGAGAACACTAGCTCACAATACCAATGAAAGAGATAACAAGCAAAACATATCTCTCAAGGGTGTGCAACAGACAAGTAAGGAAACCAAGTAATCTATTTGTTCAAAAACTGCAAGATAGCCGTCCAAAAATAAGAGCTTGAGGATAAGGAGAAACGAGACATTACTGTTGAAAGACGACTCATCGGTAACATCATACACCAGCAAAATGCCCATGGCTCCGCGGTAGTAAGCTAAAGAAAGCACCCAAAAAAAAAAAGGTAAGCAAACTGAACAATGGGATCAGACTTCCAGTATATAATACAACTTAAAATCATTATTCAGACCACATGCCAACCTGACTAAATCACCCAATCATCTGGAAATCCACCTTCCTTTCCAGGGTTTAAAAATATTTACTAAAAATTCCCATATAGGGAAACGCTAAGCTTGAAAAGCTGGGTGACTTGTCTATAAGTACATGAACGTGGATGATCATGACATGGCAATTTATTTGTCTTCCAAAAACGCACAAATGCAAATTGCAAATGTTAACTAAGCAATAATCAGATTTAAAATGAGAAACCAAATACATGCCTGTTGTAATTGTTCGGAAGCGCTCTTGACCAGCTGTATCCCAGATCTGGAGTTTAATCCTTTTTCCATCAAGCTCAATGGTTCTTATCTTGAAATCAATTCTGTGCATAGGGGAGTGAACATAATCAAAAGATAAGTTCAACCAAGATCCATGATAACTTACAAGTTTGACTGAAATAAGTGTAGGTCCTTTAAAGGGGTGGGTCTATTGCCTAGGCTTTACATGGGTCAAGCTCTTCTTGTGTTGAATCAGTTGCTACCCATGCCTTGCTCAAACCTAACCCGAGAGACCTCCTTGATTTTGCAAGAAAGCATTAAGAAACCGACACCACTAGGCCAAATGCTCACTGATAACAACAGTCTTAACCGATATATTACATGAATCTTTAATACATATATCAATTGCAGTTATGAGCAGGAACTAATGATCAAATTCCAATAGAATTCTAAAATATAAAGTCTAAAAAACGGCATGTAATCTTTTGGTTGATATTATTCCATAAATCAACTGAAATCAGTAATTAGGCACAACCTCCTTTTAACACTGTTGTTAAATAAATTATGGATACACAGTTTCCATGGTTTCAAGGGATACCAACCCAATGGTGGTGATAAAACTGGTCGTGAATGAACCATCTGAGAAACTCTTTCCCACACCTGCGTTATTTACCTCATATGTTAAATTTATGACACCGAAAACTTGACCAAACAAAACCATACCAAATTTTAAACTGAAAAGAGCATAGCCAAGTAAAACCATTTTGAGCCAAGCATAAGAATGATATCTTTGGGTATTTCCAAGATGGTAGGAAGCTCAAACTGTATTAAGAGACAAAAAACCTAGAACAGCCAGATTCTGACTAACTAGCCAATCATTTCCATTTTCGTCTAGCTGATAAAACATAATAGGAAATGACACTATGACAGATTTAAATCTTCAAACAAAACCCTTTAAAAAAAAAAAAAAGCAGCTAAGAATCCAAATACATGATCCACCAATAGAAAACAGCATTTTTACGCTAGAGACCATGTTTAACTCAAACCCGTTATTCATAACAAATGAACAAAGAACAATTGAAAAATAAGATTTTACTTCATTTTTTTTTTTCAATTAGAAAATCCTCGTATTTCATTTTACAAAGATTAATTAGACAAAGTAAGATCACAAAACTACTAAATCACAAATCGAATTCAACAGTCCCCACAAAAACACGAAGATTAAAGAAAACCAAACGCGTGAGATCTGAAAATATCAAACTTCCTATTTTCATCTTCAAAAATTTTCTCCGAAAATAAAACAAACAATCGGAATGAAAACTAACCGCTGTCGCCGATAAGAAGGAGCTTGATTAGGTAATCGTAATCGGCGCGAGCCCTAGCCGGTGGTGCAGCCATCGATTAGAGGTGAAAAATCAAATTCAAATTCGCTCAAAATCGATTCCCTCTCTGCGCCAAGAATGGAAAAGGAAAATCAGAATAATGGCTGGAAAAAGGAACAAAAATGGATCGAAAGAGAGAAATTACAGAGGCTTGGGAGATCGGCGAGAGGGCGAGAAGAGAACTGTGAAGCGCGGTTTTAATTGCCTTTGGCGAAGCGAAGCTTAGCAAGTGGTCGGCGACATGGATGAGAGAGAGAGGGGAGAGAGGAGAGAGAGGGAGATCAGAGAGCGACCCAATGAAAATGCGAGGAGTTTGGGACTTTTTTGGCACTCCGCGTATGATACGTGTACAACGGTTGACGCGGGTTCTAGTAGTCTTGGGTGCACTGGATTATGTCTCTGCTCTACATGACAACTTTTAATTTTTTATTGTTTATTTTCTGTTTTTAACATCTATTTTATTTATAGCCCTGTTTCTTTCGTGAGTTCCATTTGAGAAGTTGAATAGAAAAATTAATTTAGTTGAGAGAAAATAGTATGATAAAAAACTTAAATTTAAATTTTTATTAAAAAAAACACTACAGTAAAAATTGTGATTCGAACAGAGAAAAAGAAGTATGCTTAATATGATTGAAGAGTAAAGGTGAACAAGAGAATAGAAGCAATACATTTATGGTGAAGATTGGAGGCAGAGATGGATCTCTAATCACCAATATTCATCTGTGGTCGTCATCTAATATTGAGTTTATAAGTGGGTTTCTGGCCACTTACAAAAGAAGAAGGCTGTTAAATCAATAATGATCGAATTAGGTCTTGGTCAGTCCATAGACATTTTCAAGCGTGTCGGTCATCACCTTAGCATATCCTTTAAAGGGTTTGGTTTGCGAGGAGAGGCGAGTCATCTCAAGGTGTATTTGTTGGTTGTTGTCACTAGCATCGGTGTGTGTATATCAACAATTCACTCTTTTGTCATTTTTCTACTTCAAGAGTGGCACAAATCTTAATACCAAATAAGTTGTAACACAAACCATTGTATAATTCTTTTTTTTTTTTTTTTTTTTTTAAAAAAGACATTGTATAATTGGTGGCATACTACCTAATTTTCTCAAAACATATAAATTTGGAACATTTTCAAAGTGCGAAAAAAAGATAAGTAAACTAAAAAATTTCCCTCATTTAACTCGTTTAATTTTGTACCATTCTCTTACAGTTTTTCATTTATGAGTGTAATGGCATGAATCTCATAGTATTTAATAAAAAATAAAAATAAAAACTCAAATCTTTTTGCGCCTCTAGTGAAGAAGGGTTGCTCTAAATATCACAAAATTTTTATGATAGGGGGAGATAATATTGATTTTGTAAGTGTTAATTGAGTTGTTTACTATCATTCTCATATTTCCCACAAATACAATGTTATTGAGATTAAATTTTTTAGTGATATCTATACATATATATATAAGAGTTAAAAAATACTGAAGCAGTATTTCGACCAAAACGGTAAATATTGTTCAATGAACAACATTTCGACCAAAACGCACCGTTTTGATCGAAAACATTGTCCATTGAACAGTGTTTTCACTGTTCACAATTTTTTTTCCTTTTGATGGTTTTTTTTCATGTTCTCTTTTTCTTTTGTTTTTTTCACCTAGAATTTTATATTTTTTTAGTTGTTGGCTTTCTTTTTAACTTTCTTCTTTCATTTACCTAAATGATTTTTTTTAAGAGACGTTAAATTTCCTTACTATCAGCAAGTAGAGCGACAAAAGATTTTTCCAAATTCTGTACTATGTCTTCAAGATGTACAACTCTTTGTTTCCACTAAGGATTAAGGATTAAGGATTTGAAATTTTGTTATTTATATTTCGTTGAGAAACTTTTGTTCATGGATTTAAATTTAGGTTATATTTATCATCGCTGACGAAGATGATGATGATTTATAGTTTTTTACTAGAGAAATCTATGTATGCACATAAAATTAGTTGACGAAATAGTTTATAATTGGGTAAAGTGATAAAAAAAAAATCATTTTATCTAATAGTTTTTTTTAGCGAAAATTTTTTTTTTTTTTTTTTTTTTTTTCCTACCCCGACTCGGGCTGAGTTGTTTGAGATATTGGGATGTCAAAATCAATTTTTTTTCCGTTAAAATTATTTAATGTATTTAATAAACACTTTAAAAATTGATTATTAGAGAATTTAAAAATAATTTTAGATTGAAATAAAAAACAGCTCATTTACTACTTTTAATTGTAAATTGCGTGAGAATCTACCATTAATGAAATTTTCGTTATCCTCAAAATACGAAATACCCTGCTGAATTAAAAAAATTCTTCCCTCATTTATTTCTACTCCTTCGCCGTCTCTGAAACCGAACTCTCTCGGCCAAAGCTCTCTCAGCCTTAGCCTTGCTCTCTCAGCTCCCTCCGTTTATCTTTATTCAGGAATAATCTCAATCCCAACCCCAACAACTCCAACTCCCCTTCAGTGCGCGTCCTAACCCGCCCGTCGCCACCATTATCATCGTCCTTCATCATCTCATCTTCATCATCATCATCATCATCATCTTCTTCTTCTTCTTCTTCTTCTTCTTCTTCTTCTTCTTCTTCTTCTTCTTCTTCTTCTTCTTCAAATTCCCAACAAAGTCCGGCCATTAATGGCGGCGTGGTGATGGTGGGTTTCATCGGCCGAAGACGACCCTCCATAGCCACCCATCTGATAAACCGGATTTTGGACTCCCACGTCTTCGGCAACAATCTCGACACCAATCTCATCTCCGACAAACAAGAGGACTGGTTCAAGTGGAGGAGAATTAGTTATTTCCATCAACGCCAAATGGGCATTCTCTTCTTGCACTTCTCTTCGGTTCTCTGCCCTGGATTTGATGATGGGTTTGGTTCCGCCATGGAAGACGACCACGACTTTGGGGACCTCCAAGGCCTCTTGTTCATGTTCTCTGTGAGTTTTTCTTATTTATTTTTTCTTTTCTGTTTTATTATTGTGCTTTTTAGTTTTTGCATATTTGTGAAACTACTGGCTTTTTTTTGTCCCGTGATTTTGATGTTCTCAATCTAATATTTAGGAAAATGGAGTGTTTTTGTTTTTTGGAATAATTTCTTGTGTTTAGACTTTAGAGGCTGTTTTATGTGATAAGATGGGCACAAATATTTTTAGCAAAAGAAAAATTAATTATGTGATAAGATGGGCACAAAAATAATTAGTTTGTAGGCATATATGTGGTGTGTGTATGGATAAATATGTTTGTAAGAATTATTTCTTTTATTTGCTCTTTTTTCTTGTGTATGAATTTTAATGTGTGAATTTGTTCATTTACGTGTGTGTGTAGATATCAATATGTTTGAAATGTTCTTTATTTGTGGTCATATAATTAATTATCATTTTGCTTAGCCCATTTCTTAGCATGAAATTTCTCAACAAATTTATCATATTTTCATGCAGATTTTTTAGAAGAACCCCACTAAAATTGATAATTATGGTATTTGGTTGCGTTATTAAGACTGCAACTGTCCTTGCCAAGCTTTGCAAGAGAGAGAGTACAAAATAAATTATATATATTTAAGTTTCATACAATGTCTATTTTTGTTATTTTATATATCCACAGTAATTAAATCTCAAAATTTACCAAATACTATTACACTGATTTTGAAACTAACACAGCTACTATAATTACAGTTTACCAAACACTCAGCTACTTTTTGTAACAACTGCTTCTTCCTTCAACACAACTAAAAACATTTTTTTAAATCCACAATACTACCAAACTAAGCCTCATTTAATTTGGCCATGCTCGTTATGCTCTCCCTCTTTCTTGCCCCTCCCCTCTCTGCCTTTCAATTACTCTCCCTTTCACAACTTCCTTCTGTAATTCACTTTTTATAATGCTTGTATAAAAATAATAATAACATATTGCTAAACGAATTATGTTGCATAAATAGTGAGAAAACCACGAGAGAAATCTAAACAGTATACATTTATTTATATTTATTTGTTTTTCCAATTTAGGTTTTGTATTTGACCAAGAAGAGTATTAAAGCATCATTTATTTCGCCGATTCGAGTTTTCAGTTTTTAAAAATGCGTTTAGAATCCGTTCCAAAATAATTTTATTTTATATATGAAAATGGAAATGAAAACATTTTCAATCTCAGACAGAAATCATTTTTAAAAATGTATTTAATAATTTTATTTTAATATTATTTTTAATATAAAAAAAATACCGTTTGGTGATTTGTTTATACTGATCTCAACTATTCATAAATCATAACAACAATGTGCAGATTTAGTAAAGACCCAGAACACACAAATATCAGCAAACAACAACAAAAAAACCCAGAACACAAATATCAACTTCATCACACACCAAACCGGCAATAATCCCTAACCAACTTCATCACACACCAAACTGGCAATAATCCCTAACCAACTTCATCACACCAAAAGACCAAAAAATTCAAAAAAAGACCAACCTAAACACATAAATCACAAGATTAATAGGAGTCTTAATCGTAAAATTATTTCTTAATCACTGAGATTCAGTAAAGACTCCTTTTTGAGTTTATAATCTTTTTCTTTTTCTTTTTTGTTTTTCCTCAGTAAGTTTCTTCTTCCAACACTTGCAGAACCAAAAATAGCCTTCTTCTTTCATAGGTTCGCTAGCAGACCTAAAAAAAAAACCAGATCCTAATCACACCATCGCCTACCCCACCAGCTACCCCAGATCTTTTTCTTTTTTGTTTTTCCTCAGCAAGTCTTCTTCTTCTTCCATCACTTGCGGAACCAAAACTAGCCTTCTTCTTTCATGGATTCGCTAGCAGACCTAAAAAAAACCTAGATCCTATCACACCACCGCCCACCCCACTAGCTACCCCGTTTTCGAACTGCAACCCCGCCGATCACAGATGTTGCTCCTCTCCCTTCGCAAACCCGGCCAAATCACCTCCCCACCGATTGATTTCCTACTTTCTTCCCCCATCTGTTGAAAGCTAATTTGAGGTTTTTCTTATTGCGATAATTTTCATGTATTCTTTTTTTTTTTTTTTCTAAATCTGTTTAAAGCCCGAGTTATTTGCCGGCGATCACGACAATGAGCTCGCAACATCGCCAGCGGAAAGACGCGATTAAGGTTTCAGAAAACGGAGCTGAGTCGGCGAAGACGACGATGAAGATGAAGAGGCCGAGATTGGTGAGGTGCGAGGAAACAATGAGGGAAAAATGAAAATGAGAAAAGGAAAACGGGTAAAATTCGTTTTAAAAAATTGTGTGATTTTGTGAGAAATGCCAAAAACATTTTCAGTTTTATTTTTGGTTAGATAGCGCTCCAAACACAATCTTCAGATTATTTTCATTTTTTGTTCATCGAACATCGTGAAAAACGTTTTTAGGATGGGTTTTAAATACAGTTAAAATTTTTTAAAAAATATCACATTTAATTTTTTTATTATAATTTAAAATTTTTTAAAAAATATTATATTTTAATTTAAATTAAAAATTTAAATCTATAAAACGTGTGAGACTTAAATATAAACTCCATTTCAAACTCTATTTCGCGCACTGCTCTCTTTCTTTACCACTAGTCAACTTATTTTTATGAGACAAACCAATACAATAATAAGTCAACCTTTTATCTCTTATTTACTAAATTGCCACTAGCCCACTATCAATGAAAAGTTATTGTTCTATTTGTTTTTGTTTTTGTTTTTTTTTTTTTCAGTTAAAAAGCACAGTACAAAAAGCAAATATATCGAGATAAAAAGCTTATTCATATGTTATTGCTCTCTTTAGTTCTTTGCGTTTAGCATTGATTTTTATTTATTTTTAAAAACGTTTTTACACATCTTTTACATAAAAATAAAAATAATTTATAAATCGTGTTTGTTTAATAAATATTTTAAAAATAAAAATAAAAATAAAAAACAGTGAGAATAGTTTTTATGAAGAAATTAGAAAATAATTAAAAATTATTTTACCTTTTCTGTTTTCATTTTTAGTACTTATCAATAATATTATAATATATAAATTAATAATTATAACCAAACACGATTTTACTTTTTTATTATATTAAAAAAATCTCTTAAAAAACTAACCAAACGCAATATCAGAATCGGTTTCAGAATGATTCTCACAATAATCTCATTTTTACTTTTGTATTGAAAACAAAATCATTTTGAAAACATTACCAAATATGTATTTTGTTTTTTCATTTTGTTTTTAACTTTTTTTATTTATAATTTCGTAATAAAATATTTGTGTATATAGTACTGGGTAAAATGAAAATATTTCATTTCCATTAATTAAAAATAACACTTGACTCATGTAAACATAAGAGACATTTTTATAAATTTAAAAAAGCTCGGCCATTGATGAAAATAGATGATTAAAAAAGATCATCCAACTCAATTTTCTCAATAAAAATATGAGGTGTCAATAAAATTTCCCCTAATTTAATCCTTCATTTTATTTCTTTTTTTATTTGGGAATTTTTTTGGTGTTTCTTCTTTTTTGAGAATACTGGTGTTCCCTATTTATTGGCTGTGACATTTGTATTATTTTTTCAATCTGATTTAACTTTTGACTAGATTTAATATAGACTAGACATCTAATAAGTAGAGAATACTGATATTCCTAAAAAAAAAATACCATATAAAATCTCTTTTTATTTTTATCTTGAAGTTTTATTTTTCTTTCAGGTGCAAATATAACAACTCCTCAGTGTTGTCAAAGTTGGTTCAAGTTGGGCTGATCCTTAATCTAACCATTGTAACCTAGCTCATAAGGCCCATAACCACCAGCCGACAATAGACCAGGCCTTAAACAACCGACAATCTAATGGAGATAAAGGGAGATATAACATAACGTGATTAATAAATTATAGTGTTTTTTTAATAAATTATAGTATAATTTGAAATTTTAAGCCGGCTTCGACAGCCTCTTGCAACCATTTTTTGACGACGACCATTTAATTCTGTATTTATAAGTAAATACCGTATTTATTAATAAATATTTTATTAACCATTGTAACCTAGCTCATAAGGCCCATAACCACCAGCCGACAATAGACCAGGCCTTAAACAACCGACAATCTAATGGAGATAAAGGGAGATATAACATAATTGATAACGTGATTAATAAATTATAGTGTTTTTTTTAATAAATTATAGTATAATTTGAAATTTTAAGCCGGCTTCGACAGCCGACTCTTGCAACCATTTTTTGACGACGACCATTTAATTCTGTATTTATAAGTAAATATCGTATTTATTAATAAATATTTTATTTATTAATAAATATCATATTTACTCAAAAATTTAGTTATTATTTTTTCGACGAGCATTTAACACTGTATTTATCAGTAAATATTATATTTACTAATAAATACCGTATTTATTAGTAATTATCATATTTACTCAAAAATTTGGTTGAATACTGTATTTACCAGTAAATACAGTATTTACTAGTAAATATTATATTTATCTAAAAATCCAGTCACTGACTCCTGCGACGGTTTAACACTGTATTTACTAGTAAATACTATATTTACTAGTAAATATCGCATTCATCCGAAAATCCAACCATCGACTCTGGTGACTGTTGAACATTGTATTCACCAGTAAAGACTGTATTTATTAGTATCATATTTATCCAACAATTTGGTCACCTACTCCAGCGACCGTTTAAAATTTACTGATAAATATCGTATTTATTAATAAATATCATATTTACTAATAAATATCATATTTATCTAAAAACTGACATCCGACCGTTTAATACTGTATTTAGTAAACACTGTATTTATCGATAAATACCGTATTTATTAATAAATATCACATTTATCTGAAAATTTAGACACCGACTTCGATGACCGTTTAACACTGTATTTAACGATAAATATTGTATTTATCAATAAATATTATATATATTAATAACTATTATATTAATCTGAATATTCAGTCATTGATTTCGACGATCATTTAATAATGTATTTATCGGTATATACGTATTTACTTGTAAGAGAAATAAATCGTGGTAGATGGTTCATGTATAAATAAAAGCAATCCCTTTTTAAATTCAAATTATTTTTTTAATCAAAGAAGGGAATTAAAAAAAGAAAAAAATGAATAATTCAAGTACCGACCTCTTTCTTAAATCGAATTGATGATATAAACATACCGTTTTTTCTTGACAAATTTTCCGTCTTTTCAAATCTACCTAACCATCAAATGTGGTTTCCTAAGAACAACAAAATACTAGCTGTATGTACCAAAATCCAATAAGAATATTGTTCGTATGACAATATTTTGTTCATTTGATATTTTTCTTTATCAAGACTTCTTTCCCGTTTTTGTCATTAAGACAATTACAAAATATCAATGTATATATATTAATCAAACCATATTGTCAAACGACATCCCAAATATGTTATATGATGTATTTTTTTTATTTTTAATTATCATATTTGTATAAAATTTTTTTATTTTATATAATTTTTTAATTTAATGTAATTTTAATTTAATCTCATAATTAAAAATTGATCTTATTAGTACACCAATCTACCGATGAAGGTCCATTAAAAAAAGACTTCCCTATTCAGAAGTCAACTATCTCATCCAAAAGTTGAGGTCATCACTCACGTTGTGCTCTAACTATTTGTTTTTTGGTCGAAAGTTTTGCTCAACTATTGAAGATATTACGGCCCATTTAGTTCGTTATTTAAGTTTTTAATTTGAATTGAGATGTATAATTTTTTATTATAATAAAAAAATTAAATATAATTATTTTTAAAATTTTTTTATTGTAATAAAATTTAAATTTTAAATTCAAATCGGTGAAAATAAAATGTATTGACAAATAAGAGAAAATAAAATTTCTAATTTGGTTATTGGTGACAAATTCAAACAAGGGAAAAAATGTATTATTGCCGATTAGAAAGGAAAGAAGCTTCGCAATTGAAAATTAAAACAAAGATGAAAGATTGTCCATTTCTTTCAAGTCGTTTCCGTAGCAACTTTTGTTTGAATGGGTTCGTGTTTTATATTTTTATGTCGCTTTCTAAGCAAATTTTTGCAACTTAGGCCTTTTTTTTTCTCCCCTGAATGGAGCAAAGAAATTTTACATGGTATTTAGAGGATGTTTATTTTATGTATCTGTATCTAATTTTGAATCATAATTTATGATTTTTTACAGTATTTTTATTTTATAAAAAATTTAAATTTTAAAAATTAAAATCATAAATCATAATTTTGAATTCATGAATTAAACGTTACCTTAATATTTTGATGATTCCTTTAAAAAAAATTTAAAGTTATCTAAGAAATCTTTATAACGTGCAGGAAAAAAAAGGTTGGACTTTTCTTAGACATAAGAAATCTTTACTAGTGATGTTAAAATATAACACAGATTTTAAAATATTTTACAAATAACAAACATTAATATCCTTAAAATATTTACTACATATTTTTATAATAGAAACGCGAATATTATTATAATAAATATTCTGTAATTCTTACTGTTCTTAATACTTTCTAAAAAAATTGCTATATTTTAACGAATTACTGTTCTTGATACATTTTTTAAAATTTTAACAGTACCCTCATAAATTTATCATGTGGCGTAATTTTACTTTATTTTTGGCCGTTTTCTGCTTTTTTTGGTTGACTAATCTAAAGACGCACAGGATATTTAAATAATGTCTGAGGAAATAAAGGGAGAGTAAGGATTTGTTTATTTAAATTTTTAATTTAAATTGAAATATAATTTTATATTAGTTTTTTTATTATAAAATAAAAATTTAAATATAATTATTTTTTTAAATTTTTTATTATAATAAAATTTAAATTTTAAACTCAAAATTAACAAGGCTTCAAAATAAAAATCAGATCTCCGTCGAGGCCTTTGTAAAAATAATTCTTTTGAAAAGTTTTATTAGTAAAATAATTTTTTAAAAATTTTAATTTACAAAGGCCCTGTTCACTTCACTAATTTGAGTTTAGAATTTGAGTTTTGCTATAGTAAAAAGCTCTCACAAACAATCACATCTAACTTTTTTGCTACAGTAAAAAACTCTCACATAAAATTACATCTTAATTCGAATTACAAACTCGAATCAGCGAAGTGAACGGGCCCAAAATGACTTCTTTTTACAAAGAATGAATAAGTATCTTTCTTCATAAAAAATAAAAGAAGATCATTTTACTAATTTTATTTTGTTAGATAGTCATTCTAGCGTATTGTTTATCTCGGTCCAACAAAAAAACACAAAAAATAAAAAACAAATAGGGAAGGAGGTGTTGGGTTCCAGAAGAAGTGGGAAAAAAGGAAGGAATAAAACGCCACCAAGTCCTAAAAGAGAAATTCTTCATTTATTTTCCTCAGTCGCTTAACGGCGATTAGGGTTTCTCTCTCTCTCTCTCTCTCCCTCTCTCTCTCTCTCTATTTCAGGTACGTAGAATTTAAATTCAAATTCTCATTTTCAGCTTTTTTGAATCTCGCTTTCTTTGAGGAAATCTGAATCAGTGCAAGGAATTTGATTTTCTGTAAATCTGCTTAGATTTTGGGTTTATCTTTTACCGAATTGATGGTTTAGATGTTATTTTGATTTTTATTTCAATATTGAATTTCATTTGATCATTTTCCTTGAAAATTAATTCTTATCATGTTGTTCCCGTTCCTTTTTATTGATCTTAACATGAAATGTGCTGAAATGAATAGAGGTTATGTTTTTGTCGGAACCTGAAGGTGTTAATTTTTTGTTCTTTCTTTAATAATTCGTATGTTTCCCACGGTAAATCCAGTACTGGACTTGTTTTTGGTTTGTTTCTTTTCAGCAAAAGGAAAATCATAGATGTTTCTCATTGAGGTTTGAGATTGGGTGTTAAAGTCTTTGGTGAAACTTGTGAACTTTTAGATAGCTGATTGAAAAACATATGGCGTGGTTTAGAGCTGGGTCTAGTTTGGCAAAGCTTGCCATTAGGAGAACTCTATCACAAGGTGGTTCATATGTACCAAGAACACGAGTTCTTCCTTCTCAAAGTCGTTGTTTTCATGCCACAATCTTTAAGTCGAAGGCACAAGCGGCGCCTGTCCCTCGCCCTGTGCCCCTCTCCAGGTTGACAGACAGCTTCTTAGACGGAACAAGCAGTGTGTATTTGGAAGAGCTTCAAAGGGCTTGGGAAGCTGACCCGAGCAGCGTTGATGAGTCGTGGGACAATTTCTTCAGAAATTTTGTGGGGCAGGCGGCGACGTCCCCTGGGATTTCGGGCCAAACAATTCAAGAGAGTATGCGGTTACTGTTGCTTGTGAGGGCTTACCAGGTTAGTGGCCACATGAAAGCCAAGTTGGACCCACTAGGCTTGGAAGAGAGGGAAATCCCAGATGATTTGGACCCTGCTCTTTATGGGTTCACGGAACCCGACCTTGATAGGGAATTCTTTTTGGGAGTGTGGAGGATGTCTGGATTTTTATCGGAGAATCGTCCAGTGCAGACCCTTAGATCCATTTTGACCCGCCTTGAGCAAGCATACTGTGGGAGCATTGGATACGAGTATATGCACATTGGTGATCGTGAGAAGTGCAACTGGTTGAGAGATAAGATTGAAACTCCGACTCCAATGCAATACAACCGGCAGCGCCGTGAAGTTATTCTTGATAGACTTATATGGAGTACACAATTTGAGAATTTCCTGGCCTCTAAGTGGACAACAGCCAAAAGATTTGGGCTTGAAGGTGGAGAGACTTTGATTCCTGGTATGAAGGAGATGTTTGATAGGTCAGCAGATCTTGGGGTTGAGAGCATAGTTATTGGAATGCCGCATAGAGGAAGACTTAATGTATTGGGTAATGTCGTTAGAAAGCCTCTGCGTCAGATATTCAGTGAATTCAGTGGCGGTACGAAGCCCGTCGATGAAGTTGGGCTCTACACAGGAACAGGTGATGTGAAGTATCACTTGGGAACTTCATATGATCGACCGACTAGAGGTGGGAAGAGGATTCATTTGTCTTTGGTTGCAAATCCAAGTCACTTGGAAGCTGTGGACCCAGTTGTTGTTGGAAAAACTAGAGCAAAGCAATATTATTCAAGTGATATTGACAGAACCAAGAACATGGGTGTTTTGATTCATGGTGATGGTAGCTTTGCTGGACAAGGTGTCGTCTATGAAACACTTCATCTTAGTGCTCTTCCAAACTATACCACTGGTGGGACTATTCACATTGTGGTGAACAACCAAGTTGCCTTTACAACTGATCCGAGAGCTGGCAGATCTTCACAATATTGTACTGATGTTGCAAAAGCCCTAGATGCCCCTATTTTCCATGTAAATGGTGATGACATGGAAGCTGTTGTTCATGTCTGTGAGCTTGCAGCCGAGTGGCGCCAGACTTTCCATTCTGATGTTGTTGTTGATTTAGTCTGTTACCGAAGATTTGGGCATAATGAGATTGATGAGCCATCTTTCACTCAGCCCAAGATGTACCAGGTTAGCTGTGTTTCCTTGACGCTTGATATTCTTTTGTAATTGGTGACACATATGCAGCTATTTTTTAATTTATATTTTTTTCTTGTAGTAATTATTCTCAATCCTTGTTCGTTTGCCTTTCTTCCAGCATATATTTTACATGTGTGTTGGTATTGCTTTTTTTGAGACAAGTCATTCAGACTTCTGACATTTCTTCCTTAACGGTGGCAGATTATTAGGAATCACCCCTCAGCTCTTCAGATTTACCAAAATAAGCTTTTGGAATCTGGGCAGGTGACCAAAGAAAACATTGATAAGATAAACGAGAAAGTTAATACAATCCTCAATGAAGAGTTCTTAGCTAGCAAAGATTATGTTCCTCAAAGAAGGGACTGGCTCTCTTCCCATTGGGCTGGATTTAAGTCACCTGAGCAGATTTCACGTGTCCGTAATACTGGGTATGAATTTGGTTTTCTAAAAGTATAAACTTGATATATCAAAAGATAAAATGTGTGTGTGTGTGTGTGTGTGTGTAAACTCGGTTTTTGGCTTATATGATGTTAAAACTCATTTATTTAAATTGGTCTGCTGTTATACAGGGTAAAACCAGATATTTTGAAGAATGTTGGCAAAGCAATCACATCACTTCAAGAAAATTTTAAGCCACATAGAGTAGTAAAGAAGATTTATGAACAGCGTGCACAAATGATTGAAACGGGCGAAGGCATTGATTGGGCACTTGCGGAAGCACTTGCCTTTGCTACATTGCTAGTAGAAGGAAACCATGTTCGACTAAGTGGTCAGGATGTTGAAAGAGGTACATTCAGCCACCGACATTCTGTACTCCACGATCAAGAAACAGGGGTGAAGTATTGCCCTCTGGACCATGTTATCATGAATCAAGATGAGGAAATGTTTACTGTTAGCAACAGGTAATCACTATGACTAACTCTTTTTTGGCTATTTAATCAATAAACACACGTCCGCACACAGATTTTCATAAGGTTGTCTTCGTCCTCAACTTCTTTTCTGTTACACTGAGTGGCTCTAGTTTTGTAAGAAGGTTAATTAGACATGTTTCAGTTATGAGATACTTCGCACATTAATTTTGGAGATGATAGCCCCTATGAAGGACTTTCTCAGACGACAACATTTTTCTTTTATCTTCACTTTATTTTATATGAACATTGTATAGTTTTTCTTGAACCTTGTGAGATGTTGCTGGTTTGGGGTCATAGTTGCTGATGCAGTTTGTTTTGCTTCATCTAATTGAAAAAATTGCTTCACGGTGACAATCATTTCATTTTATTCTCATGGAAATTTTTTAACTTACAGTTGATTTTATATGGTCATATGGGTTTTGTTGAACCTGTTGATTGACGCATTATCCAGTAACATTTTTTTGGCCCTTTTTACCACCTCTGACAATTAATGCAATTTCCCATTAAATGTTATAATTTGGTTTTCCGTGAGCGAGACTTTAGGCCCAAAATCAGAGGACTACTAAACTGAGCTATACAACTTCTTTGAAATATAGATGGTATGCATTTTATTTAATTTGTCTTGCAAAAGTCCTAAGTATGCTCTTGTTTCACAGTTCGCTTTCAGAGTTTGGAGTTCTTGGATTTGAATTGGGTTACTCAATGGAAAGTCCAAACTCATTGGTAATCTGGGAAGCACAGTTTGGTGATTTTGCCAATGGCGCTCAGGTTATATTTGATCAGTTCTTGAACAGTGGGGAGGCTAAGTGGCTGCGTCAGACTGGGCTTGTTGTGCTGCTTCCACATGGTTATGATGGACAGGGCCCTGAACATTCTAGTGCAAGATTGGAACGTTTTCTTCAGGTAATTTTAAGCTATTATAGCTATTACTATTATTAGTTAAAAGAAGAATCCGGTATCGGTTAAGTACTTCCCATCATTTCTCCTTTGGGCGAGTTTGTTTCTTATTTTTCCATTATAATCTCTCTCTCTCTCTCTCTCTCTCTCTCTCTCTCTCTCTCTCTCTATATATATATATATATATATTTATTTATTTATTTCTCCTTCTCCCTCTCCTCATTTCTTCAGCTGTTGTGTTCATTTTATGGGGTCAGGAGGAAAATTTTTGTGAATCAAAGAGATTCACAAAGCAATTTCATGGATTTTTATGTTTATGAGTGAGGGTTGGAGAGTGGAATAAACCTCGCATTAAATTCGGCCCCATTTTGTTTTTGTCTAGTTTCTTTTATTTCCTTGAAAACCACCTTTTATTTTATCAGGTTTCCTCCGGTCTTGTCCAGACTAGATTACGTCCAGCTAATCCATGTTCACTAATTTGATGGCAGATGAGTGATGACCACCCTTTTGTTATTCCTGAGATGGAACCGACTCTTCGCAAGCAGATTCAGGAATGCAATTGGCAGGTTGTCAATGTTACTACTCCTGCAAATTACTTCCATGTTATGCGGCGTCAGGTTGGTGAAACTATTTCGTTGCGTCATGAATTTCTATTAACTTGAAGTTTCTGCATTCTAACATTCTGTTACTCTTTCAGATACACAGGGAATTTAGGAAGCCTCTTATTGTGATGGCTCCTAAAAACCTGCTTCGGCACAAGGACTGCAAATCAAATCTATCTGAATTTGATGATGTCCAGGGTCACCCAGGTTTTGACAAACAGGGAACCAGATTTAAGCGCCTAATAAAGGATCAGAATGATCATTCTGACCTTGAGGAGGGCATTAGACGACTAGTTCTTTGCTCTGGGAAGGTATGATTTTACTCGGACCATATTTGCAGTATACTGGATTTAATCTGCTCGTTTGCCTGTCTGTCTGTATGTCTCCATTGCTTATACAACATCCCATTCTTGCCTACTGAGATGAAAAGGTCAACATCCCATTATTGCCTACTGAGATGAAAAGGTCCATCTTCACTGACAAGGATTTCAATTTTGCAGGTTTATTATGAGCTTGATGAAAAGCGCAAAAACAAAAAAGCGAAGGATGTTGCAATATGTAGGGTGGAGCAGCTTTGCCCCTTCCCATATGACCTTATTCAGAGAGAACTGAAGCGATATCCGAGTACGTAATTTGAACTTGTAGCTTTTCTTTCCCTTTAATCGAAGTTTGGATATTCTGGAGTGAAAATCAATCTATGCATTACTTGCTGGAAATTTCATTACTTGCTGGAAATTTGAAATGATCCATGTTTTGTCGTTATCTATATCCGTGGAGATAAGTCTCTAGATATTATGAGCTCTGACATTTTTCTCTTCTAATATTCATTTAGATGCTGAGATCGTCTGGTGTCAAGAAGAGCCAATGAACATGGGTGCGTACAGTTATATTGCACCACGCCTCTACACTGCCATGAAGGCTCTGCAAAGAGGAAACTTTGATGACATAAAGTACGTCGGCCGGCCTCCATCAGCTGCCACGGCCACTGGTTTCTATACTGTTCATCAAAAGGAACAAGCGGAGCTTGTGGAGAAAACGATACAGCCTGAGCCAATTCAGTTTCCCTGAGAAACCCCTTTAAAGATGAGATAAATTTGCAATAGGGAACGTCAACATTTTTTGAGAATTTTAAGTTTCTTCTCAAAGCCCCTCTAAATCTCGATTTAGATGGTTGTTTCTTTTCCATATTCCCGTACAATTAAGTCAATATGGTGTTACGTGCAAAGTTGAATAGCATCTCGGAATATATAGACTTGGATATGTTTTACTTCACCTTTTTCTCTTGCTGCGCAAGAGTTTCAGAATGTAATAAATATATGCTGCCTTTATCCTTGTAAAAACAAGATTGAGGATAACTCTTTGTTATAATTTCATTGCAACTGCGTTGTTATTTGTCACCAGGTGAATTTTTGACTCATCCCGGCCCTTAGGCGTTCCACAGTGTATTTCTTTTTTCATTTTTTGAGGTCACATTTTGCAAGCATGTTCAGAAAAATATAATGATTGTTTATCCAAATGTTTAGAATTTTTTGACACTGTTTTTATTTTATTTTATTTTTCAAAGACGAAAAATAGAGAAAATTATAAAAAATAAAATATTCATCAAAATGTGGTGTCACTTGTTGCATTTATTCATAAAAATTGTGTATTAATTTTAGAATGCAAAATATAAATAAAATGGTGAATTTTTGACCCATCCTGGCCCCTAGGCACCTCACTGTGCGGGCCGGAGGCTTTTTGACAGCGTTTTTCTTTTTTCATTTTTTTGTAGCTATTTTTTGGAGGCATGCTCAGAAAAATGTAAGGATCGTGTATGCAAAATTTCAGAATTTTTTGACGTTGTTTTTACTTTATTTTATTTTTCAAAAATGAAAAATAGAGAAAATCATAAAAAATAGAATATTCATAAAAAAATGGTGTTACCTTTTGCATTAATGCATAAAAATTGTTTATTAATTTTAGAATATAAAACATAAATAAAAATGTGAATTCTTGACCCATTCCAGCCCCAAAAATAGAGAAAATCATAAAAAATAGAATATTCATAAAAAAATGGTGTTACCTTTTGCATTAATGCATAAAAATTGTTTATTAATTTTAGAATATAAAACATAAATAAAAATGTGAATTCTTGACCCATTCCAGCCCCTGCGCGCCCCACTACGCGGCCCGAGGACTTTTTGACAGCGCTTTTCTTTTTTCATTTTTTGTGGCCATTTTTTTGCAAGCATGCTGAGAAAAATGTAAGGATTCTGTCTGTAAAATTTCAGTATTTTTTTGACGTCGTTATTATTTTATTTTATTTTTCAAATACGAAAAGGAGAGAAAATCATAAAAAATAGAATATTTATCAAAAAATGGTGCCGCTTGTTACATTAATTCCTAAAAATCGTGAAATAATTTTAGAATACAAAACATAAATAAAAATGTGAATTCTTGACCCATCCTAGCCCATGCGCGCCCCATTACGCGGGCCAAGGCTTGTTTGACAGTTTTTTTTTTTTTTTTTTTTTTTTTTCATTTTTTGAGGCCACTTTTCGCAGTCATGCTCAACAAAGGGTGAGGATCTTGTCTGCACAATTTCATAATTTTTTGACTTTATTTTTATTTTAATTTACTTTTCAAAAACAAAAATAGAGAAAATAATAAAAAAATATAATATTCATCAAAAAATGGTGCCGCTTGTTGCATTAATTCTTAAAAATAGTGTATTAATTTTAGATTGCCAAACATAAATAAAAATGTGATTTTTTGACCCATCCCGGCCCCTGGGCCCACCACTGCGCTCACCGGGGCCCTCTTGACAGTGTTTTTCTTTTTTCCTTTTTTGATTCCATTATTTGCATGCATGCTCAGAAAAATGTAAAGATCGTGTCTGTAAAAGTTCAGAATTTTTTGACATCATTTTTATTTTATTTTATTTTATTTTTCAAATACAAAAAATATAGAAAATCATAAAAAATAGAATTTTCATCAAAAGCTTGTTTCATTAATTCCTAAAAATTGTGTATTAATTTTAGAATGCAAAAAATAAATAAAAATGAGAATTTTTGACCTATCCTGGCCCCTGGACACCTTAGTACGCAGGCCGGGGGCTTTTTAACAGCGTTTTTCTTGTTTCTTTTATTAGGTCATTTTCTGCAGGCATGCTTACAAAAATGCAAGGATCGTGTCTGCAAAAATTCAGAATTTTTTGATGTCATTTTTATTTTATTTTATTTTTCAAAGAAGAAAAATAAAAAAAACATAAAAAATAAAATATTCATTAAAAAATGGTGCCGCTTGTTGCATTAATTCCTAAAAATGGTGTATTAATTTTAGAATGTAAAACATAAATAAAAATTTGAATTTTTGACCCAACCCGGCCGCTCTACACCCCACTTTCCAGGCTGGGGGCTTTTTGACAGAGTTTTCTTTTTTTCTTTTTTGAGGCCATTTTTTTGCAGGCATGCTCAAAAAAATGTAAGGATCGTATCTGCAAAATCTTAAAATTTTTTGACATCATTTTTATTTTATTTGATTTTTCAAAGACGAAAGATAGAGAAAATCATAAAAAATAGAAATTAATCAAAAAATGGTGCCGCTTGTCTCATTAATTCCAAAAAATTGTGTGTTAATTTTGGAATGCAAACATAAATAAAAAAGGGAATTTTTGACCTCCCAACACCTTGGCGGCCCACTGCGTGGGCGGGGGCTTTTTGACAGTTTTTTTTTTCATTTTTTCAGCCATGCTCAAAAAATTGTAACGATCGTGTCTGTAAAATTTCAAAATTTTCTCACGTCCTTTTTATTTTATTTTTAATTTCAAAGATGAAAAATATAGAAAATCATAGAAACTAGAATATTCATCAAAAAAATGGTGTCACTTGTTGCATTAATTCTTAAAAATCACGTATTAATTTTAGAATACAAAACATAAATAAAAATGAGAATGTTTGACCAATCCTGACCACTGGGTGTCCTCTGCGTAAGCTGGGTATTTTTGACAGTGTTTTTCTCTTTTTTTTAGGCTATTTTCTGCAAAATTTTAGAATTTTTTGACGTCATATTTATTTTATTTTATTTTTTAAAGACGAAAAATTGAGAAAATCTTAAAAACTAGAATATTCATCAAAAAATGGTGCCGCTTGTTGCATTAATTCCTAAAATCATGTATTAATTTTAAAATGTAAAACATAAATACAAACGTGAATTTTTTACCCATCCCAGCCCTTGGGCATCCCACTGCGCTGGCCGATGGCTTTTTGAAAACGTTTTTTTTTTTTTTTTTCCTTTTTTGAGGCCATTTTTTACACGCATGCTCAGAAAAATATAAGGATCGTGTCTGCAAAATGTCAAAACTTTTTATCGTAATTTTATTTTATTTTCTTTTTCAAATACAAAAAATAAAGAAAATCATAAAAAATAGAATATTCATCAAAAAAGGTGTTGCATGTTGAATTAATTCCTAAAAATCGTTTATTAATTTTAGAATGCAAAACATAAATAAAAACGAGAATTTTTGACCCATCCGGCCCCTGGGCGCTCCACTACGCGGGCCAGGGGTATTTTGACAATGATTTTTTTTTCATTTTTCGCAGACATCCTAAGAAAATTGTTAAGGATCGTGTGTACAAAATTTCAGAATTTTTTGACATCATTTTTATTTTATGTTATTTTTCAAAGATGAAAAATAGAGAAAATCATAAAATATGGTGCCGCTTGTTGCATTAATTCCTTAAAATCGTGTATTAAGTTTAGAATGCAAAGCATAAAGAAAAGTGTTAATTTTTGACCCATCCCAACCCCTGGGTGCCCTACTGCGCGTGCCGTGGGCATTTTGACAGTGTTTTTCTTTTTTCATTTTCTGAAGCCATTTTTTGCAGGCATATTAAAAAAAATGTAAGGATTGTGTCTACAAAATTTCAGAATTTTTGGACGTCATTTTTATTTTATTTTATTTTTCAAAGACGATAGATAGAGAAAATCTTAAAAAATAGAATATTCATCAAAAAATGGTGCCGCTCGCCTCATTAATTCCTAAAAATTGTGTGTTAATTTTAGAATACAAAACATAAATAAAAAGGGGAATTTTTGACCCGTGCCAGTACCTTGGCACCCCACTGCACAGGCGGGGGCTTTTTGGCAGTGTTTTTATTTTTTCATTTTTTGCAGGCATACTCAGAAAGATGTAATGATCGTGTCTGTAAAATTCAAGAATTTTCTGATGTCCTTTTTTTTTTTCAAAGATGAAAAATAGAGAAAATCATAAAAAATAGAATATTCATAAAAAATGTTACCACTTATTGCATTAGTTCTTAAAAATCACATATTAATTTTAGAATACAAAACATAAAGAAAAATGAGAATGTTTGACCACTCCTGACCCCTGGGCGCCCTATTGCGCAAGCTGGGTCTTTTTGACAATGTTTTTTTGTTTCTTTTTTTGAGGCCATTTTTTGTAGGCTTGCTCAGAAAAATATAAGGATCATGTATGCAAAATTTTAGAATTTTTTGACGTCATATTTATTTTATTATATTTTTCAAAGATGAAAAATGGAGAAAATCATTAAAAATAGAATGTTCATAAAAAAAATGGTGCCACTTGTTGCATTAATTCCTAAAAAGCATGTATTAATTTTAAAGTGTAAAACATAAATAAAAAGGTGAATTTTTGATGTATCCCAGCCCCTGGGCGACCCACTGCGCAGACCGAGGGCTTTTTTACAGCGTTTTTTTTTAATTTTTTAAGGCCATTTTTACAGGCATGCTAAAAAATATAAGGATCGTGTCTGCGAAATATCAAAACTTTTTGACGTAATTTTATTTTATTTTCTTTTCTTTTTCAAATACAAAAAATAAAGAAAATCATAAAAAATAGAATATTCATCAAAAAATGGTGTTGCATGTTGCATTAATTTCTAAAACTCATTTATTAATTTTAGAATGCAAACATAAATAAGAAGGAGAATTTTTGACCCATCCCGGCCCCTGGACGCACCACTGCGCGAGCCGGGGGTATTTTGACAACGTTTTTATTTTCATTTTTCACAGACATCCTAAGAAAAATGTAGGGATCGTGTGCGTAAAATTTCAGAATTTTTTGAGATCGTTTTTATTTTATTTTATTTTTCAAAGAGAAAAAATTGAGAAAATCATAAAAAATGGTGCCGCTTGTTGCATTAATTCTTAAAAAACGTGTATTAATTTTAGATTGCAAATCATAAATAAAAATGTGAATTTTTTACCCATCTCAGCCCCTGCGTGACCCACTATGCGGGCCAGCGGTATTTTGACAACATTTTTATTTTTTCATTTTTTGAATCCATTTTTACAGGCACGCTCAGAAAAATGTAAGGATCTTGTCTGTAAAATTTCAGAATTTTTAGACGTTGTTTTTATTTTATTTTATTTTATT